AAACTTCGCAATAAATCTACTGATCATAGGGTTGGGTTTCTTCAGTACGATGGTCGTCTTTCAGGGTTTAAGAACGTCTGGATCTGCTCGTATGTCCCCCTGAGCTTTGATATGGCTCTTTAGAGTTCACCCTGGAAAAGCCGACAGAAAAAGAAAAAGCACTGGAGAAGCTTCAGTATAGTTTGAATGTCAAAAATCAACTTTGCAAAGCCGCTTTGGCCACAGTGCTGGTACGGAAAATTTTCTAAATCTCTTTAATACACGATACACGACGGCCAGTATTATTGCGCTTTTCACAAACGCGCGAATTCTATGGTTCAAAAGCCGCCTTCACAATTGCGTTGTTGGCCGCCGTCAATCATAATTACGATCACAAGCAACGAACCTTGAAACACAGAAACGCACAAAACGGATCGAAATCCACCAATCACAGATCACAAACCATATGACCTTTTGAGTCCATTTCAGTAAAGTTCTGTTTCGTAAGAGGTCCGTTAAGATGATTGACGGCAGCGAAAAATGCAAACGTCAGTTGGCTTTTGAACTTCAGAGTTCGTGTGTTTTTCGAAAAGCGCACTAAACGAAGAACAGCTGGGTTGTAACGATTCTCGCCTAGGGCTCCGCAATAAAATAGCCTTAAAATCTACCAAATAACCTTAGCACACCGCCAATATTAAATCTGTGGCAATTTGTGATACTTTAATACCAGTGCAGGACAGTGTCTGTTCGCAGTAGGGTTCTAAGTCCTTTGATTGGTAACAGATTTCCACTGGGTCTATCCGTAGTCAATGTCTATACTACCGATTCCGAGACAGGCCATTTCCAAACTTGAAAGCGAGTTCAGGTGCTCCTCGTTTCGCGTGAAATTATTTTCACTTGCAAGAGAACTAAACTCATTTTCACATGAACGGTTGTTTACGAGTCCTCGCTTTGATAAAGAGGCTTTCTCGGTTATGGGCTGCCCTAAAATGAATGATCCAATAGACGCCCGAGGCTTCTATTTAATTTCAGGAGCCCAACTGAGTTGTGACGTTCAATAGATAGGAGGCGTTGTTTAAAAGAGAGGCGTTTATTCCAATAAATGTAAGAAACTCCACAAAACTAATATGCTTTTGGCCAATTATAAAAAGCAAACTGCCCTTGTTGCTGGCAGTCTTCAAAGCAACCCAGACACTCTCTCAAACGGCTGAAATTAAATCGAGACTACTATAAATGGAGACCTCAAAAGAAGACCCTGAAATTGTGGCCGTAAAAACGACTAGAATATTTCAACGAAAGACCAAAGTGATGAAAAAAGTTTGTTTTTGATCTAAAACGGCGGAAGTACAATAAAATCGAGAAAGAAATCTATAATGTCACCGCAGGTGCAAAGAAGTATACGAACCAAAAAGAAACAGAGGAAGAAAAAGAAATTAAAGGAACAATTACTGTGCGCGCACTTAGTATTTTTAATCTTGACAGATACCATCACAAAAGACGTTTTACTTATTGGATAAATAATTTGTCACGTGTCAGGGGACTAAAACTGTTGCGCTGATGCAGTGACGTACAACGCAGTGGACTTAGTCCTGCATGGCGGGCGGGATGCGTCGTCGTGTTGAGTGTAAGTAAACTCCTTTAATTATTATCCTACTGGTGCTCAGCTTGCTAAAGGGATATTACATATTACGGTACATACTTCCTAACACTATAATTTATCTAGTGCCGGATCAGTTTAGAAAGCGTTGGTCGGTCATGAGGTAGTTAGATGTAAGGGTTACTCTGTTGAACGTTGTGGTTTTAAGACGGTCGTGTAGAGTGTTTCAAAGAAGTGTGTAAGCTGGAATTCAGTTTGAGGTGTTTATTTCAAGAGGGTAACAGAGAACAGTCAGGAATTACTCCATTAAGTTACATTCAGAAGCATATAACCCCGTTTCTGGTTACATTACGATCGAAAATCTTAAAATACAAACGAGCACAGTATGAAACCGAGCAAGCACATTACGAAAGGTAATGTTTCAAGTACTTGCATGGGGTAATGCCAGAATCAAGCCATCCCTTTTAAAACCTACTTTTTCAGTTTCGTAATTGTTTACCACACTAGATAGCAAACCTGTTTATTTTATCTCGATTAGCTTTTAAGATGTTTATGAACGCGCTACTTTTTCAACTGAACTTCTACTACGAACTTAAATGGAAATAGCTTTTTTCGTCCAACCTACAAGCGTACCTCAGCCGCAGACTGCGACGTCCCAAGGGTCGATAAACGAATGCTTACAACAGTATTTCATTTCATATACTGAACGGCATCGCGTTCGAGAAGTTCGAATAAATCAGCTTTAAACAGGGTGAAATGGTGGTGGTTGAGTCGTCTAGCAATTATTATTCAGTTCTACAGCATCTGCTCCCAACAATTGGAGATGATAATCCAAATTTTATTCAAAATCAACTGTACCATAGAGCCACAATAGAAGAAAAACAAAATATAGTAAGGAAATAAAGACAGAAAAGAAAACAAGGATGACTGTCATTTCGTCCATCCCACCAGGTGCAGAGTTAACACTCATTAGTTGGTCGTTTCCACACCCTGCGTCAAATTCTAATTTGTTATCCGGTTATGCCGTAAACCGAACAGGTGCAACTCCTCAAAATTGCACTTGCTTGCGTCAGAACTGCGTCAAAAATCAATTACAGCAGAAAAAGACGCCAACGAACTCTAATAATCCGCCTAGGCACAAAAGAAGAAAGAAGGAACCAATCAAGCTTTGACATCAATACGCTACGGCGTAGAATCTGCCAACATGATAAACCGAATACACGATGAAGAGCCTTGTTTGAGACGCTTACAGGTGACGTACCTCACAGACGTGGTCCTCGAAAATAAAGGGCAGAAAACGAACGATTGCCTCCTTTTTATTCCTTATTTCTTAAAATTGACGCATTAGTATTCCGCTTTTTTTAATTTTGCAACAAATTAATGTTTTACCAGGGCTAAATTTTTCTAACATTAAGACTGAGTAGCGTTTAATTGACGTTTCAAGGTACTGATGCTCTAATTTTCTGTGTCATCAAACAAATTGGCTTCATTTGAGAAACGTAGGGCAAAATTTAAGCGCAAGTGACAACCTTACGTTTAATCCGCGAAGAGAATGGAAACTTGTTTTTATTGTAGCAAATTTTCAAAAGATACCTTATCTTTGTTTCATAATTGGGGGCAAAAGGGACGGAAAACATTAAGAGGAGCCAGAAAAGTAATCTGAGAGAGAAAGAGAGAAAGAAGAGAGGACAAATTTTTCCTTTAACGGGTTTAAAAGAACGTCCTGCCATAAACATAGGCAGTTGACCATGAAATAAAACTAAACCAACATACAACGTACACGACAAATATTTAAGTGAAAATATAGTAATTATCTCAAGATGAAAGAAAAATAAACCGTCATCTGTTGAACAATTGTTTGCCGGAACGCTACGACGACCTGTCTTCCTATGTGTAAAAGAAGGCTAGCCTGCTAGAGTACGAATATATGTCCTTTATTTAGAATAGAGGTACGGCTCTAGCATATTTATCATAAAATAAAGACTCTTAAACTATATCTGAGGAACGATACGGCAGAGAAAGCTCTCTTTCTCCCTGACCAACGATTCTTTGCTAATGCAGGAAATTACTAGTGGATCATCAAGGCTCAGGACAAAGGTAATGAACCCAAAAGGACAATACGTTATCTTCATACGGGATATAGGGCATTGAGATTATTGACGTCTCGCAACAACTCGCAGACGCTCTTAATAGAAATACTTCAAATGACGTGAAATCTACTTTAAAAAGCCGTAGGTTGCTGTTTCGAACTGGTCCTTGGCCCTAAATCCATTGCTTTAAACGATGGTCGTCGCTGAAAAAGAGAAGAAAAGTAAGTCAGTTCTTCACATTCTAATATGGCAAGAGCGAAAAAATGTCGGCAGTTAGTAAAGATGTCAGTAATAAAAGGAATATATAAAAGTATATGTAGGTTGCTTTGATCAAACAGTTTTCTACTAGGCGCCCCACGTTACTTTCAGCATTACTGAGATTAAAAAGAAAACGCTGTTCCATTAGTGAAAAAGGTTTTACATATGCGTGAGAAACAGCTTGAACCTCTTTGACGCGAAGATGGGGTTTAATAGAGGGTTTGAATAACTGTCTAAATTTATTTCCCAAAGAAATGTCAACTGAGCGGGAAAACTAAACATAAATTTATCTGTTGAGCTCTAAATTGTTCGCAGTATATGTTTTAGCTGTAAATCTAGCTTCGACGCCGGCTTAAAGTTGTTGGAGGCTCGTTTGACAAAAAAAAGGGGATGTGAAGAGAGAGCGAAAAGAAAAACGGCTATCACAAGTGTTCAAAGCAAACGGCCCTTTCCCCTACTCACTGTTGCGGAACGCCTTCTCATGAATTAAGTTAACCTCTAGCTGCTCGAAAGAGACACTAAAAAACACTTCACAGACGTCTCACAATCATTCTCGCGGCGCAAATGGTTGCTAGATTGTTTAAAATACTTTCTCCTGATCCTTCGTTCTTTTAAGTGTTGCCGTTGGAAGGGTCCAAGTTCAGGACGTAACTGGACTATTTTAGATACGGTCGTTAAATTGTTGCGAGGGAACAAAATCGAAGACTACCGACCAATACCGCACGAGAAGAATACAGGTGATAGAGATTTTGCATAAATGGCCACAAAAGAGCTTGCGAAACGGAGCTTTTCCCTAAGAATTATTAACGGTACTAGTCACTACAACAAGACAGCAGTTAAAAAAATATGTGGTAACCAAATGTGTTCGCAATGAATAGTCTCCCAAAATGACATGTTACTCTTATTTTCAAACTGCTCGCAACTTTAGCCATCGGTTTCTCCTCTCAGTGAGGCAGGCGAAGCTGCAAACGTAACTGAACAACACTTAACCGTTTTCACTGCAGAAACCCACAAACAGAAAGACACTCAGAGGTTCCTTGTTGCCTGATAGGCAATCAGGAGAATTCACGGTAAGGGTTTTATAAAGTAACCTAAATGTCAAGGATTGGCTTGACAGCACACGTAACAACGTAAGCATTCACTAAAAGATTCATATACACATTTCAACTAAAAGCCTATAGTATCCGTTATCAAATCAATAATGACATTTTAAGTGCATCGGTGTGTTTAAGAGATAACTAAGCTAGAAAGTAAACATCACATTAAAGAGGCATTGTTACGTATCATTATTCTAAACTACGATATGAGTTGTCAGAAAAGATAGGAGACAAGTGACAGGGGACGTTATTAAATATTGCCTCAATTTTTCGTCCGGCATATAAACGGAAGACCATCGCCAGGCCTCTTTACGCAACCAGAACGACAGTCAAACCAAAAGGGACGGAGTCAAGTACCCGCAGAACAGAGGTAACAATAATATGAAGTTTATCGACTCAATCTGGGACGAAGTGAATCGTCTGAAATGGAAAGAGATTTCACTGATCTGAAGGATTAATATACATATATTTTCCCTATCTTTTTACAACTTATGTAATCAACTATTGAGTTGTCGCAGACCAAGTTACTGAAAAGTATTCGGCGAGGACGAAGCCGCTGCTTTAACTAAGTGCCAAGCGCCAGACAGTTCTACATGGCATCTCTTAAGGTCGGTACACACTAGGCGACAAGTTGCGGCAACATGTTGCAAAGAATCAAATCAGACAGAATTTGTGCGACTTGTTGCCGCGCCAAAATTATGTTGTAGAGACTAAGATTTTCACAAAATTTCTCCAGTACACACGAAGCGATTTGTCGCTGCGATGTGTCGTCCCAACACTTTGCTGCAACTAGTCGCCGGACCTGTACACTCGGAGTGATCTGTCGCCGCGACTTGTTGCTGCAACTTGTCGCCTAGTGTGAACCGACCTTTTAAAGAAGCTCATTTAGTCATCGCCGATTCCCATAAAAACTAAACTTTCAACGATTTACGATTGTTCAGAACTGCACTAAGAACATGATAAACGCCTCTCAATGTGTTGTTAGCAGTTCAAAGTCTGTTTCTACCAGACTGGACTTTCCAACGAACTAGTATTTCCTGTTTTTATTCTTATCAAAAACGACTCCCAACCGGTCATAATATTAAAGTCAGATATACCATAGGCATTATCTAAATAAGACGATGAATTTCTTAAATATACAAGGCTAAGGACGACAAAGAATAAACTGATCTTTACGTTTTTACTTTAAAGACGCTCTCCAAAATATAACTTCAATTCTCTTAATATTTGGATTGGGCGGAGGAAAGTGAGGGGTCTCACAGACAGCACCTGCTACTATACTGAGCCCACAAGCTACACAAGGGGCGAAACAGATCATTTGATCGTGCGCGTCGTGTAGTTAATCTACAGATGACACACATCGACCGGGTCGAGATACAGGTAATAAAACTGTGACGTTAGCTTAGAGGGCAAATACAATATCACTTTGGCTGTTTAGACAGCACCAGCGTATGAAAGCATGACTATCGGATTGACTCGAAGCCTAACGAATTGAACACTTAACAGCATATTCTCATGGTGTCGACTCAAACAAGAGTACCGACAGCTTCTAACAACAAACATTGATAGATATGGTAAACTGGAAAAACCGGTTTTCTTTTCTCTATGGAATGTGAACTTTGATATTGTGACAGGAAATACTCTGACCAAAAAACTAGGAAAACCGTATTCTTTTCCTGTGGAATGCAGACTTTGAGCTTGCTTTGACACTATTCCCACGCACGCACAGTGCTATTCAGGAAATTACTCCCAGCCTGGAGTTATCTTTTCCTGGTAATGCCCTTGCTTGTCAACCTTGTGAGTGAGATTAGAAGCAACTTCCATATTTCAAAGAAAACTCTTGCCGCCAAGAGAAAATGAAACACATGTTTGAAATACTTTCGAGCGACAAACGTGTATGATGTAGGATGGCTGGGCAGTTCTTAGGTGAGTCAAGAAATTTTCAAAACACTCTGACAAACTAGCAAGCTCAAAAGATCGCCACTGATCATAGTTTAAACAAAACGCCCTACGAATTCTCTCGTTTCGTACTCCAAAAAAAAATAACGGCTAGTTCCGCAATTATTTACGAGCCTTGTTACTAATTTGACTCTAATGGTGAAAGAAGGCGGCCAAGATAAATTAGCAAAGGAAGAATAGGCGCCAGCAACCGCCCCCGCTCAACAAAACGTTTAAATAACGACTTATAAATTAACTAATTTCCTAAAACTGCAAAACATAAACGCATACTATATCGTTGCATTTAGCATCGCATTCGTAAACAGTACAAAATGGAGTTGAATGGTATTTATAACAGTGTATTCACAACTGGAAGCGTATTAAAATATCATTTGAACAAAACAGCTGCTATCTGTGAAGCTCATTAATATGCTAAACGAATGTTATAACACGTACACTTCGCGCCGAAAGGTTGGCTTTGGCCGCTTCTATCCAACAGCGTCTCTAAGTTTCATGTCAGCTCATTCTTGTACAACCAGCGGTTGTCGTTCCTCACATTCTGTACGTTGCAGCAAGCACATTTTGTCGACGGAACAAGCTGAAAATACGTTCACAAAAGAGTTGAAGCAAACATAAATCGACGAACAATCGAATATCATTCTTACCGTTTCGTCTCGGATTTCAAACCAAGGAAACAAACCTTTGGCCGGGCTTAGAAAGCACAAATTTTGGCCCAAACCGGTCAATTTCTCTCAAACTTTTCATCACGTAACTTTTTCACGGCTGTTGTGGAAAGAATTGAGGTCAAAAAGCAAAAATTTCACACAACCATTTACTGTTTACGCGATCGGCAAACCATTTTGAAAGGGAATATTTCCCACAAAGGTGGGTGCGGCACGAAAAGTTAATATTGCGTCATCCTCGAGAAAAGCCAATGGGAGCTCAAAAAGACAATGCAGCTGTCAATTTTGAAAGTATCAACCAATTAAAGCCCGACAACTCCAAAATTTGGCGCGCTTCCGAGTCACGTTGGACAGATTTTGACACCGCTATGATCCCGACATACACGCATTTTTGCAGCGCTGGCTCCTTCGTCGAAGTGCGGAAATCTGTGTTGGAGCTTGACGTTGTCAGTGTATTGTGACTTCCCACTTTCAGTGCCAACGAGTTTGTTTTGAATCCCAGATAGGTGCTTACTTAGTGGATGGGACCTATTGTGCGAGGTACGTACGAATCGAGGAGGCGGTTAGTCAAGTCTTGCTGACGAAAGCACCTTCAGGCCAAACAACCGGGGCAACGAAATGACAAGCACTAGTACTACGGCGAGTTACTCTTCGCTTCGTAGAGCGCAGCTGACTTACGAATACTTGCACACAAACAGGTAGTTATGAGAAACCTTTTTTTTGTTCGTTTACTCGCTGATAAACTTTTCATTGTTCTCTGGTATATAAAACCTTGTTATATAAGGGTATTTATATCGTTTGCAAGCACATGTTCCGATCATTTACGCGCGCTGAGAGGGTGGCTAATTAAAACTTTGATCGCACAAACAATGACAGAACTCTGACGCAAATAGCAGTTTTATCGTGGACTTACTTTCAGTTTCTAAGTCACAGCGTGGACTTTCTAAATTTATTAGTGTTAAGGTCTAGCAATCGCAACACACTGTGACTTTCATTTAATCACACTTGAATACTCGTGGTGCGCACAACCGCGACTTCATTTACCCTCGGGGCTTGAGTGACTCGAGTGTAATATTATGTTAGAGCATTAAAAACGCGAATTATTGAGAAGTGTTTGTTTCTCTCTACCAGCACAACACACGAGTTTCTGTTTGGAGCCTTGGCGGAGTTAGTGGATAACGCAAGGTATTTGTGAGCTTCAATTACAAGAGCGTGAACAATACCTCCTTCTGTACACTTCGAAATGGGGCAACCTTCGTCCCGCTAGCGATGAAAAACACACAGCGTTTTACTCCAAACAATCAGGGAGTGAAGACAGTTCCAGGTCTCTTTGTGAAAGCGCTTAGTAGTAGCTTTGTTTTTCAATACTAGGTAGTGGATTGTAACATGATCTTAATGAGTGTGACTCCTAATAACATCACCTGCTTTCACACAATAGAGGATATTGGCTTCACAATTATGTGCATATTTCCGAAGTTATGTATTTTAGCTGTGTGTAGGGTATCTAATTTTCAGTAGATCGTGTCTGGTTCTTGAAATAGATTTATCTAAGTCATAGAACAAAAAAGCAGGGAATAATAAAAGCACAACCTCATTGACAGAAGCCCGTTGTATTAATTGTTTTTATTAATTTCTATTGTCAGAGATGCATCATCAACAAAGATCGACATCTATACAGGTTTGTCAACAAGTTAAACAGGTTTTAACATTCCGTGAGGTCTTGTAAGACGATAGGTTAAAGGTGTTTATGACTATGAAGATGGACCGTCCTGCCAAGGTCATTGGATATCCGATGGTGACACAAATGAGTCTTTCTTTACAGAGGGTCTTAACGGGGTTAATCGTCAGCCGTCGAAAAGGGTGATTTTTATCGTCAACAGTCAAAAATGCAGATTAGTATTAACCGCAAAAGAGATTTCAAAGTATCTCAAATCTCACTATTTCAGCTGATCTTCACGGACTTCTAGCTCCAAAAGAATCTCTAATCTGGAAAACCCAGTTCCCATGTTCTCAAAAACACTCTCTAGACATTTGAAGACCCTAAAATTTGCTTATATCTGAAAGTATTTGGAAATTTTTGGAAGTGAAAGGCCAAGACAACCTCCAAAGCACAAAAGTTAATATTAATTTATACAGAAGTTAATACTTACTATAATCTTGGACTTAATTTCCACTTTATAACCGTCAGTCGTCAAAAGCTCTAAAATTAACCGTCAATGGACAAATTGGAAAAAAAATTAATCCTCAACCGTCAAAGCTACCACCCCACTGAGACCCTCTTTACAGTGGGAAATTGTAGAATGGTCTGAGTAGGCAAAAAATGAAATTATTCCCTGAGATCTTTAAATGCAAATAGCTTATTCATTTCTTAGTAACATTACAATTCATTAGTAATACACGTTTTAGGATGGAAGATATGTTAGGTAGAGCAATGACCTAAGTATGCATTTCAGTGCTGTCAGTTTTATAAACAGTGTGCAGAGAATTGGACTGTGTCTCAGTTGATAGTATAGTAGTTGTTTTCTGATACCTGGATATGATTTTCCTGCTTTATTGTTTACTCTCACCATGGCAATTCAAATCTTTACTCACTTTACTATTAGATTGCTAGACTATTGTGGGAGAAATATTTTGTTGTCATGTGTATTGACAAAGTCATATCAATTATAACTTCTAAACTATCCTTAACTTAACCATCCCTAAATTGTTGTTAGTGCAAGTTATTGAACATGCGTAATGTTGTAAGGTAACTGTTTTAGCAGCATGGTTTGGTCTAATAATTGGCAATTATCTGAGTTATTACCCCACTGAGGTATTTGGGTACCATTGGGTACTACTTGTGCCAAAATTGATTACACTTAAAATGACATCATGAGACAGAAATTCATTCTCCACTTGAGAGTTGAGTTACCCTACCGGAGTTTTTCTTGAGCAGTTTTATTCTCGAGTATTTCTTCCCATATACTAACCAAGTGGCAAATGGCAAGATTGTATTGCTTCAAACATCACCCATTATTAGGCTCTTGCATGGACTTTGTAGCTGCACCTGTACCTTTCTGTGTTATTCATCAAGGAAAGAAGACTTGTTGGGGCACGTATTAGCCAGAGCTAGTCGTGGGAAGACTCCTGATGTTGTTGTTTACACTTACCATTGTCACTGATTCAAGTCATCACGTACTAGGGGCATGGGTTCTTCCAACGTGCAGCCTGTCTGAGGACCTTAAATCGCTTTAATAACTGTGCGTGTATACACTGCTACACCTTATTTTCTTTCTCTTGAGTTCAAGCAAAGACAGGGCTGATTGGCTGGGCAGATTGCATACTAATAACTAATTGACTTGTTTCCCATCATTCTTGATAAAATTTTAATACATTCGTTTGCTTTATAAGATGTCATGTAATATTAAGGTTGGCCCACAGGTTTTAGTCAGATGAATTAATACAGCGACAACCTCTACACATGACAGCTATTTGGTCGACTGGTATTGTAAGGGAAACTTCACTTTCATGTATCATCTTCCGTTTGTACAGTTATCCTCTCTGTTGGTTCTATGGTCTTATCGCTCAAAAGTTAAGATGACTTTATAAGGACGTATGGGCCCTTTTTTCATTTAGTAGGTCATCTTTTAAGATGACATTAATCATCTAGGTTTAATCCATGATTTCAGAAAGAGACACAAGGCGTTTGGATTTCACCCCAAACAAGGTTTGATGGCAAATTTTGATTGGAAGGTTGTAAGTTCAAATATCTTAGACTGCTAGAATAGATTTAAAAGGTTAAAACCACAAACTACCAGGGTAACGAAAAAATGACACATACACAGCAAAGATATTCTCGTTTGAAAATTGTGAAGTGTAAATATTTTACTATCCACCCCCTCAGTTTTTTTTATCAGGGTTAATTTGCCACACAATCAGGGAAGCCTTACCAGACTGCTTGTCGCGAAGTTTCATTGCTTGTCTCATATGACATATTATATGTGCAAGATTTGTGAGACAGGGCCAACGGTTTATTGCCTTTACCCTAGAAGACCCGAAAATCTAGCCGTTTGTAGATGTCATTACGAAGCCAGCCCTTTCTCCTCAGTTAGTCAAAGACCTTAAAGTGTTGGTCCGGTCGAAGTTCTTCCTCGGCAAATCAGCGCTTATCCGATTGAGCTAATCGGGCGGTGGTAAGCACTATCAGCGCAAGAGATTCAAGAAAAGCAACCTAGTTCGTTGACGGTAGACGCAAAGCCAGTGCTGGGGCCAGACCTTTAAAATCCTTCTTCTCCCTCTTCTTCTCGAGGACGAGAGATATCCAACTGCGATGCGTCATACCCAGAGCAACCGTGTACTGTATTTTGATATGCATGACCCGGGCTAACAAGTCATGGCAGAAAATGGCTTTTATTACTCTGGCGAAATGCGGCCAATTGACCAACATAACGCCATTTGTCAGATATGAAATTTAATTTTAGTACAGGATAATAAGCGCAACAAGCAACCACTCCTTATGGTCATCAAACTCTCTGTGGTGGAACAGAAACTACCCCTTGGGACGAGATGCGTGTTGTCTGTCATTATGTCCCTACTATTAGCTCATTGCACATTTCCTTCGAAAACAAAGAAGTCATTGCTCATATCTAGCAGAGTGGAAAATTTACATCGCCTTTTTGACTATAGAGGATATCTGTTGGACAGTATGCAGGTGTGTACGTTAGAAGGAGTAACAGCAAAATCACGGATTGAATGGCTATGGACATCAACGATCGGCAACTGTCTTACAAAATTGTCGGTTTAGAAGGTTGTTTGTAGACGATTTCACTTCATCGACGCAAAGTTGGTTCTTTCTCCCTCATGACCTACTCAGTCGGTGTAACTATGTTTCCAAGGTCTCACCGCACCTTTCATACAAGAAGGAGTTGGCTAGTGCGGTTGGCCTGGCTGGGAAATATGCTATGACACTTAGCCATACATGAGCATACGCTTTTGAATGGACCTCTGGGTGCTCTATGGCGAAGCGAGAGTAACGATGACGAGACAACCAACTTAACGGCTAGAATGTTTATTAAGGGATGACTTACGTTCTCCTCGATGTAAGGCTTTTAACTGCCTCTTTGTTCAGTCCGTCTGCTCTTTCTTTGATGCAAACTAGTTCTCTTCTCCACTACTTTTCTTTATCTTTATATTTGCTACCTTATGATATATGGTTCTTTTCTTTTATGGTATTTGGAATTAACTGCTTTCTTATTATCTCGGAAGCTAAAAATATTGTGCGAAGCTTTCTCAGTGGTTCTGGTGCAGGTTAATAACTGATTTCAATTACCAAAGTAAAGTTAGGGAAAACTGAGAAGCACATTTTTTACGCAGTCACTTTTTAAGTTGCCTATTCCTTTGAAACTAAACTTTAGGATTGGAAACCTTGTTAATTGTAAACATAGGACAACTTCCTATTCAGAAACACAGAAGTTAGCTAAAAATATAAGAAAAAGGTATCCTACTCTTAATTAATGTAAAAACGGAAAGCTTAAATCAATGTAAAATGGACAGTGAACCCAAGTTTCCCAAGGTTAATTGGTGATAGGTAAAAGTGGCCATTTAAATAAGTATTTTCGAGAAACGTTAAGTTTAGAGACGAGATGTCCCACTCTCAAAATTCCAGTTTATTTACGGAGACACGAAAGGAGAAATTCTTACCTCTCTCGTGATCATAAACCACAGAATTCGTGACAAACATTACGATAGTATAGTTGGTATGGAAACCTGTGTTGTCCCTTCTAAAAAGAGGTACACTTTTGAGATTCTGTGGGTGATGCAAGAAAAGACCACCTTTATTATTTACCTTTCTAAATGTAAATACTCATTAGTAACTTGATTATAGATACATTGTTTTTTTTCCGTCTTAGCAGTTAAACTTAGAAAAAAATCCACAACTCTAAAAGCTTTCTAGAAATAACGAGTACTGGTTTATGTCATTTTATATTTCAAATTGATTAGATTAGAATTGTCGACAATCGACAACTATCAATCTTGATAATTCACTTTTTATATTTTAAATGTTTTGTGCAGTGGGTTTCATGTTTACTCGTCCCATTATGGATACATTAAGCTGAATCACATTAAAGGACGATTTTTTGTTATAGATCATCAAAAAGATTTATGGCACTTTTATCAAATTGTCATATATTTTTAAAATTGGGGAGGTCAGTCCCGTGACAAGCTGCAGTTCTTCTTCTTCTTTTTAAACAAAGTGATAAACGCCATAATGAGGGAAAACCGGACCGCAACTCTTAAAGCAGGGACGGATCTAGGGGGAGGGTGCAGGGGGTGCGCACCCCCCCCCCCGGGATGACCTGCGGCTTTCTGATTAACACTGTGCAGTCGCTTCACAGTCATACAAAATCTGCTGTATCGTTAAATATGTATTCTCAGCTACATTATGTTATTTCCTAGTCAAAAGCCCTCTTTTTCGTATTCACTTTTAAAATTTTTTACGTCATCAGTCAGTTAGTGGTGCACCCCCTCCTAAGAAAAATCCTGTATCCGCCTCTGTAAAGATATCTTCGTACTTCTTCTTTTTATTTTGGTTAACGCCATATTGTAGAGAACCCTGTTCCCCGAAGGATTTTAGATGTAATCTAGGGTTGAGGCAAGTTCAAAACTAAGAGTTTTTTAAAAAGCCTTTAACCTAGGGCTTAACTGAAGCTTATAAAATATTGTTCAGCCTTTACTCTGAGAACCAGTCATGAAAACACAAAACGATTCTCGAAAACAATCTGTAGGAGGGGTAAATACAATCTAAAATTAACATTGTAACCATGGATTAGCGCAAACCCGTCTGAAAATCTGGTGACCTTTCGATACAAGAAATTTCGTTGATAACGCCATCACACGACTGACTTTGCACCTTCCTCATATAATCCAATGTGAATATCACACTCAGACAGAAAAAGGAGTATACGCTGCAGCCATCTATGTTAGAGAGATTAAGCATCGCGTTTACGGCAAACGTGAATTTGTACTTGTTTTCCATTTACTTTTCGTTTACAATTCACTTTAACTACACGAAAACAGGTAGAGTTACGCCAGTTCCATCCATAACAACTGTTTGAAGCCGTTTTTATCTGCTCGTTTCTCATTTTGCAATTTTTCAACTTGAATCTGTTGCTTTAAACGCGATGCTTAATCTCTCAACTAAGGTCAGTTGAGAGGTATCAAACATGAACATCCGCTGCGACTCAGGTTCACTTAACCATCGAGGCCACGTATAATTTGAAGACACTGATAATTTTCACTGGATCGCGGGCTCAAGGTTCACTTTCTTGTCAAGGGTATCACGTTTGATTGTTTTATGTCTTAGTGAAAGACAATTTTCATCTCTGCTTTTCAATGTACCGTAATAAAATGGAAAAAAAATTCACGGTTTTTCGCAATCTGTGGTAAATCTGTCTCCATCCTCTCCAGACAAAAATCAACAGTTTCCGTTTGTTCTAATCTACCAATAAAATTACCTTAATTTATATTGAGTTCTCCCACTAAGGACGATGTAATGGTGTGTTGAAAAATTGATATATCTATGACTTCACTCTCCGATCCATGAGACTCTCCGTAGCTCAGTGGATAGATCTCCCCTTTCCCCGTGATCGGGAGGTCATAGGAGGGACTCGAAGATTTTTTCTTTTGCCCACGCTCGTGACCTGCTGTTTTTCACATCTTTCACATAATGGCACAGTTTTTTTTCTTGAGAGACAATCTTTAGTTGTACTCGCTCATAAAGTTAGTGCAAAAAGCTAACTTTGCGCTGTTTGACTTCTGATGATTTCACAGAACCTTGCGAGACTTGCAGAGGGAAGTTCATTTTATGTTTTCTTGATGACGGCGATGGCATGGATCCATGTAAGTGTTAAGTTCACAAAGGTGGCTTTTCGACGGGCTATGAAACTTAAATAGGCTAATTCAAGTTAAATTGGAGAAGGAAGGCTTGAGAGGTTCATATCAGAGTTTTGGGCATAAGTAAAATGGCGCTTAATCAAATAAACGTCATTGTATTTAATTCGAAGTAATGTTTTTAGTGAGGACACTACTTAACATTTCCTGAAGTCAGAATCGACACATGATACGCTGCAAAAGAAGTACCCTGCGGATTAATAAATTGCAGTAACCTCGAACCTCCTGCGGAAAAGGAAAATAGTTCCAAAAATGACGGGGAAGATGACAGTGTGTGCCAGGGAAAGGAAGGTCAGCGTTGTTCGAATTATCGGGAGGATCGAGAAACCAAGGGTTCGAGATTCAGATGTGCTTTTCTTGGCGTCGTCGAGTACGTTGAAAGGATGGTGACGCTGTGGTGGATTCCCAGCCAGGGTTTTTACTTTCACGTTTTTAAAATTTTAAAGGCGAGGTGTTTTGCTTCACTTTGCAGCGGAAGTTGGAAATGTGGTCCAGTTTGGGCGATCGGTTAAACGCAACGTGGATTCAAGAATGATTGGACAGTATGGCAACGGTCTTAAATCGTAAGTGTTGAATGTAACCCTATGCTTGGTTCCAAATCTGTTTTGTATGTCTTATATGAAAAGCGACCTTTTGTTAGTGATTCTCTCCCTCCTCTACTCGTACATCGAAGTTAATCAGTAGGAACGCAGTGATAAGCTTGCCTACGAGCAAGCTTTCCATTTCTGTACGTGCCGCTCACACGTGACTCCTTGCAACTCACCCAAAGCTTCCCAGGGTTTTTCATACATTAAGTGCAAAATCTTCCATTGTTCAGCCGCTTATTTACACTTGGTCTGCAAAATACAGTAACTTAATTTTTAATTCCTTGCCTTATAGTGGCACCATGCGGATAGGAAAAGACATGATCTTGTTTACAAAAAAGTAAGTACCATTTCATTTTCGCCTGGACTCCATTGCAGTGTTGTTGTTTGAAAAGTAAGTAGTGACCTTTTTCTTTCCTTACAGGGGAAACACCATGAGCTGTCTGTTTCTTTCAAGAACTTTCCATGAACGCGAGAAAATTGAAGAAGTAAGCGTTGAAAATGGTTCTGTGTCAGCTTTCGGAACAATGGATTATGTAGCTATTAGTTAAAAACAATAGATAACGTGCTCTTGTTATTTGCTTGACTCAAGGTTGTAGTACCCATGCCGTCCTGGGAAGTCTCTTCCAAGAAACCGCTGGCGAAATCCAAGCGTGAATTGGAAAAAGTGAGCAGCTTTACTCTTGACACACACCTAGCCATGTTAGTTTGGTACAGTGAACGCTTCTCTTTTGGTTTAACACACTTATTCTTTGTTTCTTTAACTAGCATCAAGTCGAAACCAATCTCATCTTGAAGTATTCGCCATTCAAGACGGAAACGCAGATGTTTGAACAGTTTAATAAAATCGGATCAAAAGGTGAGTGGAAAATGCAAGTTAGCCAGACATGTTCCAATGAAGGCTGGTTTTCGCTAGCGACGGAGTCGGAGTCGTAAGAGGTGTCGCAAGAGCGCTTTTGACGGTTTGAAAATCAAAAATTGGAGTCGTAACCAGAGTCATAAGTACGACAGAGTCGGAGTTGAAAGGATCAGTACGTTTCCATTTTCTTCCGACTCCGCTTACGACTCCGCCGCTTACGATCTAGTGAAAACCAGATTATCGGCGTCGGAAGCGGAAGGATAAACCAATCACAATGCACGTTCCCACGCATTGTGATTGGTTTAGGATTTCCGGCTCTTCTTGCGACTTCGACAACTTAGTTTTCACTTGATCGTAACGAACGGAGTCGGAAGCGGAATCAGAACGCTGTTTTCGCTAGATCGTTAAGTCCTACGCTTCTGATTACGACTCCGACTTTGTCGCTATTGAAAACCAGCCATTAATCTTTGTCATTCTTTGCGATGTCCCACTCAATATCAGAATCTTCGTCATTACAGGAACACTTGTTGTTGTGTACAATCTGAAGCTCATGGATAACGGCGAGCCAGAACTTGACGTGAGTATTGGCTTCATGAGCTGACTGTCAGTGTTGCTTTACTGTGCGCGTATTTTAGTCAGACTGTTTTACACAGTATGGAATTCTTTTTGCTTTTGTTTTGGATAATAAATGGTGATAAGAATTCATGGATACATATTAAGAATTTCTTCCGAAGTTGACGAACACATCCACGTCTTGCTGTGTCACATTCGTCCACAAGTTCTTCTTGTTTTCAGACCAAACTAGAAACTGTTGCTATAACGCGCCCTCCTTCTTTAATTTACGGCCACAATAATAACGGCCAATTAATTCTGTTTGTGATATGTTCTTTCGTCCTGTTATATACTAGTTCAAGTACACGCCATAAACTCATAGCTTCGATATCATTTCATACACAGATAGTGAGTGATCCTTATGACATCAAGATGGCGGACCCTTACGCTGGAGAGAATGTTGCGGATTATGACATGTAAGTCTTATCCACGTTCTGCTGTTTCCCTATTCATTGATGTTAATCGCTACAGTAAGCGCGGCGCCAAAGCAAAATCAGTCAGCCAGACTGTGATTTTATGATATCAACGATACGTACCCCCACCTCTCTAAAATGTTCTGGCATTTTCATTTGTCGAAGCGTAGCAGTCGACGTCCATACTTCATACTAAGGGAACTGATTACGTTGTTTTATAGGATTATGCCTGAACGGAGTTCTTTTAGGGCTTATACTGCCATTTTGTACTTGGATCCACGGATGAAAATTTACATCCAGGTTGGTGGAGGCAATTACAGGTGTCCCTTTGCTTAGCCTTAATGATGCTTTGTGTGATATGTGTCCCTGTTTTATTTTAGAAAAAGAAGGTGCAGACGAAGAAACTGACAGCTTGCCTTCACAAGACCAAGTAAGTGATCTTTCAACACTCTTCTTTCGGATATTCGCAGAGCATTAGCTTAAATGATAAACCACTGTTACCACAGATAGTAATCGAGACTAAAAATGACTTAGAGATGTTTGGTTGAATAGAACACTCCCTCCATTGTTTGATATAGCTTTTCAGTGAACAATAATTCGTTAACAAATTCAAAGCATAAGTAAAAGTTTCCCATTTCAGGAGAGATTTTTATGGCGTTCGTTCTCATGAATTATTTATGATAAAAACAATTTTAACGTTTCAGAGATGAGAATCTAGAATAGCTATCATTTAAGAAATCAAGCTTTAAGATTCTCTCTAAGGGCGAAATTTAGGAAACTTGGACTCTTCAACAACAAGCTTTTGCCCAGAAACGTAAATGATCACTTATTCACAAGCAAACTTTAATGGTATTAATGGAAAGATGAATCTTAAAAGGTTCAACTTACGGTTAATTATGCTTATGTTTGCAGATGTTATCATTTTACATCTAAACGATTCAAGACAAGATCAGAAAAGGAGGCCGAGAAGGCAGACCGAGAGGCAAAAATAGGTAAGTCATACTTAACAAGTATTTGTTAAATTTAAAGTCACCGGTGCCGTTAAAGTTTGTTCAACATTATTCAAAACGAACGATCGAGTTTTTTGTAGGGCGCGTCGGTAGTTTTCGATGCTTGTGAGTGATAACGGAGAGATTAAGCATCACTTTTAGGTTAAACGGCAAACGCGAATTTGTACCACGTGAGCAGGTTTCCCCTTTGCTTGTCGCCTACTGTTTATTATTTCTGCACATAAATTTGTAGTTTCAGGCATTTTTTTTTTATCCATAACAATCTTCTGAGCTGTTTTTATTTGCTCATTTCCTATTTTGAGAAATTCTCAATTTCAATCTGACGTTTGCCGTATACGTGAAGCTTAAACCCTCTAATGTGTTTAGACTTAAAAAAGTACAAAAGAAAGTCTAGAGTCAAACAAGGCTGAAATGAAAGCTTTGTCTCCTTGCCGGTTCCCATCGAAACCCTTCTCCCACCCTCTTCGTCACACTTACCACTGAATTACTGTATCCTATTGGTTTTGATTCTTATTCAATTGCAGCCGAAGAGAAAGCAAGAGAGCTAGAAATACAGGCCAGGTACAAGAATGATCTTTCCTGAAATATTTTGTCACTTGACTTGTGTTGCTTATGAAGACAACTGCCCAACCGCGTTCGCCTAATATACCAAGTTAAGTTTTTCAAAAATCTTCTTTTGGCAGGGAAATTCAAGAACAGGCAGAGCAGACGTCAAAAGATAAAAGGGTATATTATATTTTTTTCTTGTTGAACGGCACTTCTGCACGTCGCCAGTTCAAAGTTTACAGAAAGTTGGTTGTGCAAACCTTGGGCAAGTTGACGTTGTACTCAAGTGGTTGTTCTAATAGCATTGCGCTATCCAATATATTAAAACTGCCGATGTGTTAGCGTTACGCCAAATATCGCTGAGTGTCCTTACACTAAGCTATTGCCTGTACGTACATTTGCAATTGTGTCATTCCTTCAATTAACCCGCTTTATTAACTGTAGACTTTCTAAAAGTCCCTATTTTTCCTGGTTGGTTATGCCAACTTCGTCGCTCGCTCGGTCGCTGCGCGACCTCATGCATTGAAGCTCGCTTCGCTCATTTTTAAGAACCTATGAGAGGCCGACTTGTATCAAGTCTATATTAACTGTAATCTCCTTTAGACTCCCTTCATGTGGTATTTTGTTGTCGCCTCTTCCTTTTAACTGAAGTCTCTTTTTGGCTAGGTGGAGCTGAGGAAGGCACAAGCTCTTGCGTCAGAAGCCCGAGCAGATGCTAACTTGAAAACCAAGATTGCTGATGCTAAGAAGAAGTATGTACTACGCGCAATTTTCCTGGCAAGTTTGATGCGATTGTTTCCCTTGTTAACTGACCGTATGCGAATGATTTTTCGTTTAGGTCAATGAAAGAACCCAAAACTCTCAGCTTCACGTTTGGAATGAATATTGACAACCGTAGGTGCTATGGAATGTTTATCTACAACTGCAGTCGGTAAGTTATCGTGAATATTCGTTTGTTTTGCCTAAATTGGTTATTTTCAACGCCTTGCATGTACCTATCAAAAATTCTCAAGAGCTACGTCTTTTTCCGTGCAGTATGCTCTGGCATCCACGGTCACGAATTAGTTTACCGATAATTCCACCTACATTTACGGATGTCTTAACCCTTACGTTACAACTTGCGGTCAAGCATATGCTGTTCTAAGATGATGACGATGTTTAACTTGTTTTGACAGGCTTATACGGATGTACGAAAGAGTGGGACCTCAGCTTGAGGGCGGAGTGTAAGTCATCAAGACCAATTTTGTTTGCTAGGGAGATTTCGCTGTAGGCTCTGATGACCCCTTCAGTATGTTTGGTCGCCTAACCGAGGTTTTGGGAATTAAAGGGCAAGTGCGGGTAATGCAGAGTCACCGATTATCGTTTTCACTGAATTCTGAAAACAAATGCTTTAAATTCAGAAGACAGTCGTGCAATTTTCGACCATCGAAGGTGTGTGTAAACTGACGATACTGCAGTACAATTGTATCATGGTGAATGACTCTATAAAAGACTTTAGTCAGTGGATGTCAGGTCGATAATTCAGAAATCATAACGAGTTGATACCAATGTTGAGTGGGAATGAAGACACTGATATCCAGTTTCCTTCTGTACGTATTATGTTTATAAGAAAGTAAATAAGTGATAAGGAAGAAAGTTCGACATATCGGCGTGACCAACGAGGCAACTGAACAACTCTGTCATATAACTCACGAAATTCGAGGCATATCTGCGGATAAAGCCCAATCGAAATGTGTGTAGGGTTAATTTTTTAGTTTAAATTAGGACTGTTACTTTTCACTAATCTTTGTACGTAAACTTACTTTTTGCAGGAAATGTTACGGAGTCATTGGTGAGTTGGTTTAGTGCTGCGCTCTTATGTGCCCAAAGTGAAATTTCTCAATATTTCTATATAATTTCCTAATGCGTATTATTTTCTCTTCGTTTTATTTCCACTAGGCGTGGTAGATGTGCCGTACCTTGTACTGGAACCCACTCACAACAAGCAGGATTTTGCAGATGGAAAGGTATCACTATAAACATTAAGCCAGGAACACGTATTTCCTTTCTTTCCTCGAAAGCCGGCGTTGGTCCATACATGGTCATTTTGTCAAGACAGTTGAACTTTCACCAAGCGGCCACCCTCTGTTAGGCAGCAAGAAATCAAAACGAAAATAATTGTAGAAAAAAATTGTAAGTTACACCTCCATTAAGCGACCACCTCTATCAAGCGGCCGCCCCAACTTTTGGCCATCCCGACGATTCTTTTTCTATTGTTGTCACATCTTTTTAGCGGCCAACAAACATCTGATACACTCCGGTTGGCCTTGTTTTGAAATTTTGAAGAAGAAAAATACAGTCAAGGGATAGGCGACGACTGCCTATGGACCTGTAACGTTTCTATTTAGTTAGATCATGATATATTGTAGTCTTGTTCGTGCAAAGTTGGGAGAACTTCACCTCAACATTGTCAGAAGAATTTGCCTGTATGTTATAATACTCTAGTTTTGTAGAAGTTGAAGAAGCCTCTGCGGGTTTTTGTTTCTAAATAAAGCGAGATTTGTGCTAAAGGATCGCACCTCCATTCAGCGGCCAACTTTATGTAGCATCAACACCAGATCAGCTATCATTTAGCTGGTCGTTTTATTCTTTCTGCAGGAATTTAAGCATTTAACAAGAGCGTTAGGAGAACACCTTGAACAGTTTTGGAAAGACTCGCAAATTGAATGTAAGTAACCTTTTCTTGTTGACAAAAAGACTGAAAGAAACGACTAGGATTGCTTAGTATTCAAATACCGCTAATTCAAGTCTACAACATAAGAATATTACAAAAAATTAAAGACGAGATTCCAGAGATTCAAAGCAGTGAATACTTTAATTATTTTTATCATAAATTAGATGCTAGAGGTAAAGGTAGAATAGGTAGTTGTTAAATAGCTAGGCAAATTTGGATGTTTCCTTAAATGCTCAATTTAGCCAATGCTTTAAAAACATGTTTCTCTTGTTGTGATGATTGTAACATGAAAATTTATTCTTTTGTTTCAACAGCTCATGGAGTAACAAAGTTTTGGTGAGTTTAGTGTGGCATGGAATATTGTCGATAATAAAAAAATTGCGTTAATCAGTGCTGTCCTTCAACGCACTCTATTTCAGGGAGAATTTCGGTTATATAAGTAGCAGATGGACAGACGGCCCGTCCATGGACCAGAAGTATGTGAGGAAGAGAGCGATGCAGATACCTGTAGATGTGCAGTGTGGTAGGTTAAAACATGTAACGCTTAAGTTCCTGTTAATCACAACACAAAGAGTTATGGAATGTGTGCTGGGTTTTTATATCCAGCAGTAGAGCACTGCTGCCGGTGAAATTGCTAAAGGTAACATGGAAATCAAGAGTAAAATAATTAAACGATACAGCGTTCGTTAGAGGACACGATCTAGGGAAAGTCTACAAATCATATTGTGTTGGTTGGAATGGTTTAGGTAGAAAGATATAGTTTTCTTGGAGACGGGCACGAGTTTTTGACTGAATGCAGGTCATTAGTTCTACTTTCCCCCAGGACACACATCCTTCTTTAGTAAGTGGAAGGCTGTGCCGCGTGTTGGACGCTACGAGGGCACTGACTCTAGAACTTAAGCAGGGGAAGCTTTCCCACGAACTGAATGCCAATTATGAGGGAAAAATAGCTGTACTAAATTCAAATTTTACGCCTACATATACCTCGATATATGACGACAGATGTCTGTTATTCTTCCAGACGTTTGTCTTAAATGGCGGCGGTTACCATTCTCCCAAAGAAATGTCGGTCGCACATTACCTGATGAATGGTGTTGCGCAATGCATCCAGATCCAAATTGCAACAGGTTTGTTCCCATTTTCATTCTTTTTACTTTCTTTTCTCCTCTGCTTCTTGTGCGTTTACTTTTCTTCTTATTACGTTGAAATGAGAGTTGCGTCCCCGCCATGACTTGGGCGAGTCTTCCTCTGGGTGTGATGTACCCTTCACGGCAATGATTAAAAAAAAAGAAAGATTTAACTATCTGAAGTACATGAAAAACAGCAGACTTAAACAGTTGAATAGCATGGAAGACAAAACTTGATCTGTGATCAAATTTTTGAACGGACGAAAACTTGCACGGCTCCGCCTTTCGTTTACACGGGACCCGTGGAACCGTGCAAGTGTTTGAAGTGACGGCAAAGTGTGCATGTTTTTGTCCTGATTAGAAGTAGGTTCAGTGTAAACGGGTTGTACAGGTTAAAAAATTCCCGTTAAAAAGTTTGTGCGGACCCGTGTCAATGGGGTCTAACTGCACACCTGCACACTCTGCTTACGTACCTTGATATCCGCTGCATTTTGAAACACAGCAAATACGTCATCCTAATGTGTAACAAAGATTTTAGTGCTAATAGTTTTTTGTACTGTTATGTTTCAGCTGTTCGCGGCCCGAACAGAAAGTCGCCATATCTGTTGGCGTGTTGCAGAAACAAGTAAAGTCAGCAGAAGAAAAGGAGAGAGAATTAGAGGAGAGTATCCGCAAGAATCAAGAAAAGATTCGTCAAATACAGGTATTGGATTGTTATTTCTTGGAACACCGGTCCTGGACTGTGAACTTACCGTCAAAGACGTCAATCGTTAAGTATATTCGCGGAGATTTGATGTTGCGAAAATAGAAGAGACAAATTTCACGAGATTTGAATCTCTTGATTTGGCAAAAAAATATTGTTAGAAGAAATATATTTCGCGAAAATCTCCCTTGTGAGGAGAAAAAGGTTTTCTCGCCTAAAAATAGTGGAAAAAACTTTTTTTTACAACAATATTTTCAGTGTCCTGTATGTGTTTCTTTTTAACAGCGTCAAAGTACACCCCAAGCTGCAACGGAAAGTAATAGAATTCAACCACAGGCAATTTCACACAAGAAGGTATGTTACGACCAGCTCAAAAGGGAAAACAGAGAAATCTAACAACAGTTCGTCATCGACCAACTTGAAATAAAGCTCTCTTTTATTAACTCAAAGCTCGTTGCAGCTTTGCATATTTAGAGTTAGTAAGTATTCGCCCTATTTTTCTCTTTGTACGGTTTCCTTTGTTCCTTTTAGGGGAGTATATTACATAACCCGTAATTATTATTCACTGTCTGTAAAGTTGGTGGCGGCTTTAATTGTATCAGGGGAGTGCGGGGCTGAAACACTAGCTGATAACAATAACAAAACTATTCAGTATATATTTCCCCTGCTCATATTCCCCTCAACATGTTTAACCATCCCAGTAAAACATCACAAGCCAGAATTTTGAATTTCGATTTAATGAACTTACCACATTTTCTTCGTCGGCAGTTGTCATTGCGCAATGTTCTTCGAACTAGAAATTCGCAAAACCGGCCCTATCACTTTTAAACAAATTTGACAGAACATCTCCAACGTCTACCTGCGAACATCCTGGTTTGCAATGTGACTCGTTGGATGACTGACACAAAAATCTGTCGCGGTGGAAGGTCCAAAAGAGTTTCCAAAACTGCTCTTCCTTAACGTTAAGAATACTTTTCCCTCTGAGTTACTCATCTCTTTCTGGTGAAACTACTGTTTGATAACTTCACATGAATTGACCAATTTCTATATTTTGGAAATTCAACCTCAAACAATTCGCCCTCGGGGCGTTACCAGGGGAATATATCACATACCCCCAAGGGACCGGTAAGTAGCCCTTACATTTGCTAACGAGTAAAGAAGTGGTCACGAATAACGAATAACGACAATGACGCTTCTTAGGATCGTTTGGAGGATGATAGTCCACAAACACGGCTCAGTACGACTGTTTTGTTCCACACCTGAGTGTTATTTTTGTCGGTAATGGTGTTTCAGAAGAGGTTAACTCACCTCTTGGTGTGGGTAACCTGTGACTCTTTGCTGAGGAAAAGAATGTTGCCAACCAATCAACTGCAAACATGGATTTTTCAAATACCCTTGGGTGAAGCTTTGAAATGATACATGTCTGCAAAAATCCCCAAGCGGGGGGGGGGGGGGGTTGCTTGGATGGTGTGGTGGTTTTTGTGATTTGTTTGTGAAGAAAAAAAACAATCTACCAAAAACAAAAGAGATATGTTTTATTATACAACTGGGGGGGTGGGGGGTGAGGAAGTAAGATCGCTGCAGACGAGCGCGGGGGGGGGGGGGGGGGGGGGTTCACTTTCTGGCCCACGGACTAAAACGTACTATTACAGAATTGCTAAAGGCCCTGATCTACCAGGTGCGTCACCTTCATTCAGAATAACCTTGAGAGCGTTGAGAGCTTTGCTGTTCCTCCAAACGATCCTAAAACCTTTGTGGTGATAAGTCGTACTACAATAGTGCCCGCTAATTCCATTAAAATAGTAAGAATTCCCAATATGCGAGGAGAGACTTTGTTAACAGAATATACTTACCGTTTACTCAGGTGGAAAGGACATCTTCAACTGAGAGTTCGAACTCCTGTAAGAGTGATTCCTCCGAGGTAGGTCGACGACATTACGTAAAGAAGCTGTTAGCAGGGCACGAGTTAAATGTACCACTCATACTTGTTCCTTCATTACGTGCCATGTTGGAAATGGCATCCCCCTTTTACTCATGAAATACTTTTGTATTTCACAAACAGAAGCGACGGCCGCCAAGTAAAGCAGCCGTGGCGGAGAGTACAGATGAACAGAGAAGAAAGAAGTCGGTACAGGAGGTCAGTCCAACATCGGTATCATATTATTACTAAGAAGAAACTCGTGGAATCCAACTGTCTTTCTTTTGCACCACAACTATACTTACGGCTCAGGGGCCAGTTGAATAAAACCTTACGTCAGACGTCTGGTGTTTTAATAGAGTGTGACCGGCTCTTACGAGCGAAGCTGAGTTTTATTCAACTAGACCTTAAACAAAGAGATCAGATCAGTTTGCATTTATTTCTAAGGCGTTTCTCAATTCATCCTTCAGTAACGTAACAGTGGAACCTAGATATAACGAACCTCTACATAACGAAGTCCTCGGTATAACGAACGATTGTCTTTACTCTAGTAATAGTAAAATATATGGAAAAGAACCTCGTTATAACAAACAAAAATTTCCAGTCCCTTGACCCTTTTTTAATATATCGAGGTTCCACTAGCCGCCGGAACTGCCTGCGATACTACCCCAACAAATGAGGACAAAGCACCGCCGGCAACAAGAAACATCGCAGGTCTTTACCGCCGGCATGCCTGCGAAGTTGAACTCGAGTCAACTTCGCAGGCATACCGGCGGTAAAGTACTGACGTGATCTCTGTTGCCGGCAACTTCTGTTCTCATATCGAAACGGTATCGCAGGCAGTACCAGCAGCTATGTCGCAGGTAGGTCAGCGGCATATGAGAACCAGGTTTAAGGAAAGTATCGCCCGTCCTTTTCATGTTCAGTACGGGTTCTTTAAGCCTTGTTTGAATGAGAGAGGGGTTTTGGAAGCCGAACATGTGTTAGGTCTCCCTTAAACAACCTGAGAGAAAGGTCTTCTTAGATAAAAGTACGGTCTCCTTCATTAAACATGAATCGAGAAAGGTCGTTGAATAGATAGAGGTCTTAATAATTTCCGACGGTCGCGAACCCTTAAAACAAACTTTCCTTTTGCCTTTATCGTAGCCACTGAAAAGACGAAACGCAGAATCAAGCCGCGTTGAAGAGGTAAGAATATTTCTTTTTCTTTCCTTCACCTGGTGGTTGTCAACAACTGTTTGATTGTTTTATAATGTCACTTATGTAATTCATTTTTCGTCTCTTAACAGGAAGTACAACCTAAAAGGAAAAAAAGTGAGGAGGCAAACACAAAGGTAGGGGCGCTGTTGTCCCAAAAGTTAGATCGGTTTAAAGGGCTGTCGTTTATACTGAAACGAACAGTTGACAACTTACTCGTGGCCCTTCATAACGGATTCATCTGTGATAGGTAACTTGATACAACATAGCAGCTACAATCCAATAAACCGCTCAAACAAGCATTCGTTTAGGTATGGGAAATTAGCAGTAGCGTGCACTATGTCTTGCAAAAACGGTTTCCGGGGCAAAACTCTCTACACAACCAGAACAAATAAGGCTAACAGGGAGTGTGGATAATAATCCTTGCATGTAAGCAACGGATAACAATGTATTCCGTTCATTTACCCCAACTACTTCAGAAAAAGGTCATGTGCATGCAATCGATACCACACTTCACAAAAACACACACAACACTAACACCTGATTGTATAGGCTACACCTTTCACACTTATCATTTAAAAGGGATTATGCAGGATTGTTTTTCACATTGTGGAAACTACTTTTTAATGCGAGCAGAGTGCAGACAGGAAGGAAAACCACGTTAAAAGAAAACAGGAAACGCCACAGAGGGAAGAAAGACAAGGATCTCCGAGACAAGAGAAAAAGGAAACTACAAGGCAAGAGAGAAAAGAACCTGCAAAGCAAGAAAGAGAAACAATAACGCAAGAGAAACAGCAAACAACAAAGCGAGAGGTTCCAAAGCGAGAAACTCCAAAACAACAAGAATCAAGAACAGAAATACCTGGACAACAAGAGCTGACAGAAATGGAACAGATACGACAAGAGCAGCTCATGGAATGGAGTAGCGAGGGCGAAAGTGAAGGAACATTACGTAAGTAGAGTTTAGGTTTGCTCTTTGTGTCTTCTATGTGCGAAAGAAGTAAGTAAGTAAAAGCTTTATTAATGTGTCAATGTATTTAGTTTTCACAACTAATTAGGGACACAAAAATAAAAATTATTTACAAATAAGAAATAATAATAATAATGTATATACAATTAAAATATGTAGCATGTATAAATTGTATAATAAAACAATACGTATATAAAAGGTAGTCTCTAAGAACTGCAAAGGTTACAGCAGCTATTGTTGTTGTTTAAGAGTGACGATAGGTCTTTTTTCCTAATGTTCTTTTTGAAAGACTCAATATTCGAGGAGCCTTTCAATTTAATATCCAGTTTCGACCATATATGAGGTCCTTGATATCTAAGAGAATGCTTTCCATAGTTAATAGTGTTAAAAGTCGGAATATCAAAATCACTGTTTCTTAGTGAATAACTAGTGCTTTTCCGCTTAAATAGTTCGTTAACAATACTCGGTGCGAGGCCATATTTTACTTTGTACATTAATATAGCGATATCTTGTAGTCTTCGATTTAGTTGTGAAGGTAGCTCTGCACGAACCAGAAGGTTTTCGTATGATTCTGAATGGGAGTTAAATACTGCTCTAAGTGCGCGTTCTTGAATCCGCTCTATTTTTCTACTGTCAGAAGATCTACAGTTATGCCATACGAGATGGCAATATGTTAAGTGAGGCAGGATTGATGATTTGTAGATTATCAGTTTTGCTGATTATCTGTTTTGCTGATAACGTACTTATCTTCATTTTTTTGCGATAGTATCCAATGGAACCAAAGTGGAAGCACGGGTAGAAGGTTCTGTGTGGTAAGTATTTTGTTATATTAAGTAAAGTGTTTGGTGCATTTTTGTAGTTCATCACGTCAGATCAAAATGTATCACGTCAAACTTTAATAGTTTTTGTTGCGATATGTAGGTACATTGGAACAGTGATTAGTGCTAAGCCAAAGAAAGGTTGCTTGTGCAGGGTTCGTATCAAGTTTGATATGTATCCTAAGGACAAGTTTGACAAATGGTAAGTTCAGACAACTATTCATCAATTTCGCATTTAAGTGAACTATCCCCTGAAAATTTGAACGTGAGAACAATGGAAAAACCAAAAGCACATCTTGGCAGAGTATTCTGTGATTTCATACACCATATTTAATACTGGTAGCTTCTACCGTATAATGGACTAGAACAATCTACAAGAAAGTATTTATCACCAGCTCAAGCGTTGGAAGTTGAAACCAGTACAAAATGTATAATGAAACTTATTAGTATTTAAAGTATTTGTAGCAAAAAAAGGTGGCCCCAACATATTGTATCACGCGGAAATTATCTCACGCCTTGCAACATTTTCCGCCTATTTCCTAGACGCGTTACCTCTACACAGATCCTTAGGTGTAGTTAGGGGTCACTTCCTGGATTTTATTCATGGTTCCAATTAAACAGCCGAAAGGATATCCAGTAATGGTTTGTGATAGTCATGTGTTATCTATAATCCTTGTTTATTGTCTTTCTCATTTGTAGGTATGATCATCCCAGCGCTGATTTACGAGTTCTCAAGGTAGTGCAAGTCTCTAAACCAGTGAAAACTTTACTGTTGTGTGTAAAGTATAATGAACTAGAGTTTCGAATAGTTTCATTTTGCGTTAGTGCTTAACTGAGCAACAAAACTCCTTAAGTTTAAAACGAAATAAAGTTGAAATTAGGTACCCTGATTGGAGTAAGCGGTGAAAAGTTGGAAACCATTCACAAGAAACTAATTGTCATAAATGACCCAGTTCACTGAATTAGAAGACCACCAGTGAGGTTTGTGTTTTCTTGCACCGGGCCGGTCGAAATGTCGCTTTCAATATCAAGGTGACTATCGCGAAACAAAGAAATGATAAAAGAAGCTTATATTTCAAGCCACGAAAATTGTTATCTGTCATTATAGAAAGGTATTTTTTCTTATTCAGCCTGTGGAAAGACCAGCTCGCAAGTCACCAAGCCCCTCCCGTGAAGTCCCCAGTACCACTACGTTTGAAACGCCAAACGAACAACAGGAGCAGCGTGAACTTCACACGCCAACACCTGTGCAGTCCCCAGAGGACAACAGAGTCTCTTCCATGTCAGATGCTACGAACATTACTGTAGCGGAAGAAAATCCTGCGCTTCAAAAGTTTCCTGGAATGTTTAGGTTTGACACACTGATCCTGATTATTATTATTATTTTTTCATTGATATGAAGGTTTTTTCGAAAAAAAACAACAACAACAACAACAAAAACATATAGAGTTGGTGATTGGACTCAATATTTAGTTCACGAGGAGCTTGGTTATCGTTGGTTGGGTGGCTTTGTGGATTAGTTTCGGATTCTAATTATTTCGTGATTTCTATGCTTCTCCCGTCTTGTGTGGTACTAATACGCATTTCTCATTTTTCTTGTAGACGGTGCATGTTGTTCTTTGCTCCTCCAGAATTCAAAATAACAAAGGAAAACATTAAGAAGATGAGCAATGAAGAACTGAGCGAATTTCCACTGGTATGAAGAAACAGCGTTCTGTGCTTTCGTTAATTGTTGTTTCTATTTTAGACCACTACAGTGGAACCTCGGTGTAACGAACCTCTGTATAATGAAGCCTCCTGTATAGCGAATGAAATTGTTCGATTATTGATAGTGAAATATATACGCAACTGAAGAACCTCAATATAACGAAACCTGGTCATAGCGAACATGTTTTGCCAGTCCCTTGCCCCTTCGTTATATGGAAGTTCCATTGTGCCTAGGAATATGCAATTTGATTACCTAAGAATGGTAGTGTTTCAGCTTAGGCAACGATAATGCCTGCTGAATAAAGAGTAGAAACGAAAGTCAGCAAAGTTCGATGAAATTTGAATTCACTTCCTTGACACAATGCAACGTTCTCTGACATATTACGAGCAAACTTCACGCTGTCATGTCATTGTCTACCTTTTAACATGTTTATATCGTTTTGCAGGAAGAGTTCTGTGATTGTTACGAAAAAGGTATCGCCCAGGTAAGAATACCGTCACTTCAGTAACCAAATGTTCAATAATACCGTTTTTGTAGTGGTACCAAGGTTGTGTCAGGCGAGCGGATGTTATTTGCTGGGCAATTAACAGAATTGAATTTATGTAAATGACTTAAAGGCCATCAAAGTTTGAAAGCTACATGTTTTTCAGGAGCTAAAAGATTACAATGTTCCGCCGAGTGAAAATAAATACCGCTTTTCACGGGTGAGAAAACCGAATCAATCCTAATATGGGGAAAGGAGTTTTAATAATGACTCTCGAGGCTTAGTACGGCTGCAACAGATAATTAGTCTTGCGTACATAATATCTTTCTCCCTCGTCAACAAAAGTTGTGAAATGACCTTGTCCCAACAAGGTAGTTAAAAGGTCCAGGTGGCTAACTTCAAGTTGTTTTCTTGTTTGAAGATGAGCAAGTCTTGACAATTTTGTCCCAAATTAAAAACTTTGTCGATTTTCAGTTGATTCAAGGCTACAAATCACAGATGGAGGAAGCCGTTAAAAATGCCGAAGCTGCTGAGGAACGATTAAGGAATGCGCTCAGAGAAAAAGAAAGAGCAACAACCCAATTGTTGAGTCTTAGAAGGAATGCAGCTAAACTATTTCGTTCTGTTCAAGAGGTTTGTATTTGTCCTTTTTTTTTGCACTAGTGTTAAAATTTGGTTGTTTACCATTTACGTGGGCAAACCGGTTAGTCCACTGTTTGGGCAAATGGTACGCAAAATTCAGGACTGGTAAATTGCGTCCCGGAATCGCGTTTACCATTTGTACAAATCAGTTCCATTTACCAAAAAACGACCGCGAAGGCCTGAAACTGGTAACATTTGTCTTTAAAGAAATGGAACACGAATTTCCTTTTGGAATATTCCGTCCAGAAAAACAGGACAACCTTTTCAGAAATTCCGTTGCTCTCGGAAAGTTTCTACCGGAACGACCCAAAAGGTCAAGTACTTTTTAACCGGATTTTCCGGAATTTTTTTCTAAAAGGTAAACAACCTTTGTTACCATTTAGAGTTGTTGGATTGTTTATTACCATCTTTTTGTTTACTATCCTCTTAGGATCCAAGCGAGTTTAGATTAAGCGAGGGCGACGTCTCGGACAGGGTGGACGAAATGGTGGAACAAATGGCTCAGGTGGCTCAGTTATAGCTGGCTAGTGACGTTTCTTTTTAAATCCATTGGATAACTTATGTCCCATTCGTCTTTTTAATTTTTTCGAGCCTTTTTTTTTTTACCAGCGAACCGCAAATAGTCTTCGACTCCACGGACACGACTTTTGTACAATGGCATCCATGTCAAGTTCTTTTGTCAAAAATGTAACAACACGCTGGGCGTGTAGTAAATCAGCATTTAGATAATGCTTTTCTACTTATCAGAGCTATTTATAACTTGTAATACATTTACTGTAAATTGCCTTTGTATGCAAGGCGTTGTTGTTTTTCGTTATCTTGTTTTTGTTCTGTTTGTTTCTTTTTTGTACAAAAATAATACGCCTATCCAGAAGGTAAAAGCAAGGCTTACAAATGGCTTTGATGTTTGAGATTATTACTCAAAGGACCTCAAAGGAAAGGCCATTTTTACGGACAGTAAAACGGTTCCCAAATTCCATGCAGTCACATTCGTAACAGGGACAAGGTTGTGATGTGGACACATACATTTCAATGGCTTCATGTACAAAAGAAGGATAGGGTGTCATAGTAAATGAGGAAGTAACTGAACTTTATACTAGTTAAGAGTTAAGGAAAATTCATGCGACATCAAGTTGTTGTTAGAGAATATTTATCTTAGTAAAGCAAGAGAGACGATTTGATGTGAGATAACGATTTTATTTCCCTAAAATTGTAAAAATGTTCTTTCTTTGAAGAAAATATCCTTGATTTAAAAGCTGGATCTTCTTTATCCTCTATTTTTCAACTTACAAGGAAAAGTTAATTCATCTCGTGCAATTGAGATTGTGACGAAATAAAATATTGCTATTTCATTAGAATTTAAATATACGTAACATAAGATAATAATAGTTTCTCTCCAAATACCTTTACCTAGTAAAAACATACCAAACGATCTTTACACTTGTTGTCTTCTTCTTGTTCCTTTAATTCTACTGCGAGGCTGGATTTGTATCCAGTGATTTCTGATGAACATCAACCAATTGTTACTTTAGCATGGTAGACACAGCATTGCATTCAACCGACGAAGTTGTAGTTACGGTAACTTAAGTAGCTAACCCACTGTCATGACTTTTTATGGATGTCACGAGATGTCCGTCAGTGGATCTTCGCGGCAGTTGACAGCGTATAACAGTTTTTCTGTCATTATTTCCTGGGTGGAGTATTGTGGAAGCTTCACCATGAACATACATGTTTCCACGCGGATGTAGCGCGCGTCAGAAGGACCTGAAATTTCAAATTTCCCTGTTGTCACTTTGCTGTAATATTGTGCAATACTTAGTGCGCAAGTCAAAAAGCCAAGCAAAGACGAGATGATGCCCTTCGGTTACAAGCATTTTGTCCTGTTTTCTGTACTTTAAAGTACTCTGTAATGATCGATAATGGTTAGAGAGAGGCAAAGGAAGATTGTTCTTGAGGATCAAGGTGGTAGGAAGGCTGCAAACGTTTTTCTCCAACCACCGGTCTGTCGCGCCGAACAGAATAGTCATCATTCTTCTACTACGCATTACGCACGCCTTAAGAAAACGCTAAGTAAGCAAGACACGTATTTGGGAGATCTCACAGCTTCTCTAAATAATATGCATCAATTGTAGCAAAATTGGACAGCGGGTATAAAGACTTTCTCCATCCGCTTGGATTGCCCTTACCCGAATTTTTATTACACTTGACAACAAGGTGTGCCAATGTCGTGTTATTAGTTACCTCTTCCGTCTGGCGGTCCAATCTTCATCGGGTAAGGTGGCACGTGAACATCCACTGTGTTTGGATTACCATCTTGACACGTGCAACGGCTTGGTAAACGCTCCTGGTTGCATGCAAACTTCACAAACTTCCTAAGCTGATCCTGAAAACCAAAGAACAACTTGTCAAAATGATACTTTTTTTCTGGACACTGAAATGGTTCTACTTGGTTTGTGCCTCGGTGTGCGGACGCGCTACACAGGGGACTTCAACGTAAGGTGGCTCGACGCGACAGTATTACACCTAGAACTGGTTACCTGTCGCGAAAACAGTCAAAAAAGGATGTATACGTCTCTCTGAGAAATAAGATCTTGAGTCAAAATATAGTGACTGTCTTAAAAAAATCAACTGTACAGGTCTTTACAAGCTTTATTTTTGTCGTCACCCGAATGTGCCGAGTAACTAAGACAACAAGGACTGTCCATACCTGAGAAAAGTTTTCCATAGAATTCCAGAAGAACTCGATGTGTGTGTCTGTATCTTTAACCCCAGCAACGTACGCAGTATGGGCCTGATTTAAAGATAAGAAAAAGTAATACCAGTGGTTTTCATTTGCGGAGGATACTTAAATGAGTCTGTTCTTACAACGAGGGATCTGATGGCGCCAAGAGACAGCAGTTCTGAATGCACATAAGGGGTAGAAGGACTACAAGGAATCAATAGGGTGGACAGCAGCTACTCTCCCGGAACTGGAATTAAAAAGGCCTCTAAGTCAAGTAATGCCTGTAACGTTTCTGCAAGTAAATTCATTATCCTCGAAGTTATTATGAGGGCTAAAAGTGACGAACCTTTAGGAATCCTAGGTCGACAGATGGCAAACCACAGGTGCGAATTTCCATATCCAGCGGTGTCATGACCATGAGCACGTGCAGTGGAACCACTGAAGATAAACCACAGCGCACGGCAGCCATCCGGGACTCACACCGGAGCTCCCTTAATCGTAGCTCCCTGATGGCCTCCACATACGACTTGTGATTTTCCCATCTAACAAAAAGACACGAGTTACGAGACATAACAGAAACCTACAGAACATGTTAAGGATTGAGAACTCGTCAAAACTGCACGAACCCAAGTTGCCAGCCTTCAAAAGAAAAACGCAACTCTGGTAGCTTACAGACGAGTGGAGTATAATTTAACAGGAGTAAATACTCACGTCACGGGTATATTAGCCCCATTATCACAAAGCTCTATCTCCTCGCCGTCAATAGAGGTGTAAACAAATCTGTACGGACACAGATCTGCTTCAAAGCATATCGTCTGAAACTCCTCTACGCTTTCCACCTATAACGAAAAGTGTAACTACCTTAATGGTACTCGTCCTCCACAAGCGTACAGCCAGTATACAATTGGTCACTGGAATTATCAGTGGGAAGGGATTACTGGTGCATTGGCAATAGCGTATAGTGCGGAAGTCTTCTACTTTCTGGGATTTCGTTTTTACAGAACTAAGAACATATGTGGAATACACTAAAAACAAACAACCAAACAACACCGGCGTCCGTAATGTCAATTCGTATGAAACTTTCATCCAATTCAAATTCTACGAAATGCGCCGGACACAGCGCTGTGAGCAAAGTAGAAGTGTTACCTCGGAGAAGCGTCGTATGTAGTTGTAGGTGAGAATATCACATTCTCTAAGGTCATCTTGCAAGTCTATCGGCAGGTTCAAGAGGCTTTTCCAGAAGGAAGGCAACAAATCCAAGGCGAGGGGAATGTCAGACCTCAAGGCAATTCCCAACAGCTGTTCAAGACGAAGAAAAAAGACACTGAGTACTGAAACAAGAGGAGCCTGCTAAATACGATGCAACGCTTCATAAGCCGGAGGAAAATAAGGACTGGCAGTAAATAACATGCGACCAGGAAAACATATTAGGGAGCTTAAGCACCTACGACGACGACGACAACTTCAAAAAACAATAGGTTTAATGATCAAAACAACAGCTCTGTACATGCATCACGCTTTTAGTACATTTCTTTGACGTCCACTGCACGACTACGACCTGAAACCTCCTAATTTGACGTTTTATACGACGACGAATTTTCCTTCCTCTTTTTGAACTTGAATAAAATGCTTAAGAATTCAACTCCAGGAAATTCGCCTGAATTTGACATATTGAGGGGGTCCAAATAGACGTGATTAAGTTTGAAAGAACGCAAATTCCTTTTTTTAGCGACGTTTTCACTGCCGTCGTCGTTGTCGTTGCTTAAGGTCCCTAGTAACACATTTGCTGACCGCAGCAACCTTTTACCCAACAGCGGCATGCGCTCTGTAATTTAAAGTCTGTTATGGGAGGGAAATGTGCCGATAACTGTTTGACATCAAGATGTACGCACATAAGGTAAAAAGAAGGCTTTTACCTGTCCAAAGAATATCAGCAGCTTCTCCTCCGAGTAAGTCATGGGCCCGGGCTTCATTATAAATTTTCCCTGTATTACAAATCAAACAGCAACGACTAAGTATTAAAGGTGACAGTATTTTCAACGCAAGCCAACGATGCTTCTCTTTATAATGATAGAAGCCTCGTCCCCTCCCAGACTCGAACCGAGTACGGTAAATATCTGCTTTTGGAGTTAAGCGCCTAAACCGCTGCGCTTTGAAGTCAAAGGACTTTTCTAACGCATCAAGAAGTATTACGGTTCTTTTAAGCGAAGATTCCGGTGGCTGAGACATAACGAACCTAAGCGCTCTACACTGTAAGGGACGCTTACGCACTTGACGTCTTACAGGCACCGGAACCAATAATCCCAACAACAGGAATCATTGTTCGTTAAAGTTTACTACCATTAGAATGGTCACATACGTAAATATATCACATAACCTGCCGAAATTAACCTAGGGGATTAGTAAACAGTAAGGGTCCACGCAGAACGTACCTTATTCTTGTTCGCAGCAGAGCTAGGGCATGGAACTAGTAATCCAACATGGCTACCTTGAAGTTCACGAGCCATAAGCCACATGAAGTGCCGAAACGACCCCCCTAAAGGGAAAGAAATAAGTCGCCCAAATGAGGCAGAGACAGCTTTACTCCTTCATTCATACAGCTGGTCTTACATTTAAGAGCACTAAATTATGTAAACGTATCAACTTGAATTAACCTCATTTCTTCCTGCGCTGCAATGTCATTTTGAAGGGAATGTTTAATAAATGGACAGGAGGGTTTGACCTAGTTCTAAACACGACGGGTATCCGAGTATTTTTTTGGCTTAACAAAACACGAACAGCAAGTTTACGTTAGAGGATTTCAAAAGTAGATCTGTTCATTCTCGCGACGACCATAAAATTCAACCCTGTTCATAGAAAAATACTGACACCCCTTTAAGTCCCTATTTTATTCATGAATTATTCATGAGTTTCTACTCTTGTAGGTCAAGCATTCCAGTTGGGTTCAGTTTAGGTGCATGTTTTCTAAACTGCAATATGAAGTTAAGATTACCTGATCCCAGAACCTGCTCTCCTTGAAGATGAATCTTAAGCGGAAAGACTGGATCCCCACCCGTGGCTACCTTGACTCTGAGTCCGCTTGATGAGAGAGTAGCGATATGACGAGCGGCCTGGCAGAACTGAGGCCCAGCTGATGAGACTTTGTCCGCTGAAACCAAATAAAGTCGAAGCTCACGTAAGCGATCGACCAAAATGTCAAATTTGGTGGTCGCGTATCAGACGTTCGACTGTGTGCATAATAAACGTGTAGGGAATAAAAGTTTTCTTCGAATACTCAACTCGACGTATTGAAACTTAAAAGTGATAGACTGTCAACGACAGGACCAGTGTTTCCTGGGGAACCCCTATTATTATAAAAGCACATTGCAAGTGCACTAATTAAGATACTGTTCCAGCAGACTGTTCCAAAGTTTGGTTTGATAGCTTGTAAGAATAAAATTTTTTTGAGAGAGGACTTTCTTGATGCTATATTTCTACCTTCTTTCCCTTTTCAAAAATCCTAAACGACTAAGGAGTTACCTTCTAATGCTTCCAATGGATCCAAAGAAATTTCAGGCGGCGAGTCCTCAGCTCGACGGTGGGCAGTGTGGTTGAGCACGTGATTCAATAGCGCTACCTTGGTGTGATAGAAAAGGAGCCCGCGAGCCTCCCTTAGTAGAGTAGCAGTACTTAGACTGTACGAGTCAGCGGCTCGAAAGTCAGTCACTGGCAACAGCAAGCGCTCAACATCTGAGTTTAAAGCTTTGAGGAAGGCAAACCGACTCCTGACGCTGCGGAGTGATAGTCCTGTGAAAATAATACAAAAAACTGTAGCTGTAAGATAAGGACAGTAGAACCTTGATAATTCGAACTCCACGCTAACTACAGTCCCATTTCTCTTGGATTTAACCCCACCTTTCAGTCGTTTTGACTCGGTTAACTTGAACTCGGATAACTCGAATTCCCCGCTAACTAGAACTAAATTTCCTTTCCCTTGATCAAAATTTCACTGAAATCTACTCCGATAACAGTCGAGCCAGCTTAGCACGGCAGTAGCACGACGTTTGAAACAGGCCTTACAAGTTTTAATACTAGGCCTTCAAAAATCAGCAAAAGATATATTATGGTCAGTGCTTCCTGATGAAACTTGTTTGATATCTTCTTCATAACTCTACAGGAGCATTTTATGCACGGGAAAAAGCACAGAGTAATGTCTCACGACTTCAAAAACTTGACCTAAAACAGCAATATCCTGGTGGTATAGCTCCTTTAAGGCACGAAAAAATATCTTATCACTCAAATATTTTGAAGGGTACTAGCCATACAATGCTGTCGTTAAACATGCCACGGAGAAAAATTCCATTTGGGTGGAGTAACACGACAAAAAATCGGAGTAGCTTACGCTACAAAAATCGAGAGCATATTAAGTTACTAGGAGGTGGAAGCTGCGCTTTGTGTGTACAAACAAAAAACTGCCGCATTTATTTACCTATTTTTCTTGAAGGCTTACGCGCGTTCTCTAAAATTCCTTTACGGAGGGTAGCCGAAGTCAAAGAGCTCGAAACGATCAGGAACGTTCGAAAAAAACAAACCCTACATGACAACTTAGTAAACTTGCCTTGCAGCACATGGAAGTCGTCGCTGGCAAGAACTTCGTCTGAGAGAAGAAGCTCATCAGGCATTAGACGGGACGGTGTTGTGGACCAAGTACGGCACAGAGTATCCACGTAACGCACAAGGGCGTGGTCTTGAGCCACAGTCCAGGAAGCATGGTCTGACTTCATCTCGGAAGGCAGGAAATGTGTGCATCTGTAACAGATGAAGTTTGTTTGAATCGCATCGTTTAAAGCCGATAACGCTCATTCAAACATTGACTCGCTGTGTCACAGCAGGTCAATTTCGATATATTAAAATACATACTTGGCTGCGAGGCTCGGGGGAATAAATCAGAAGAGATCACCGTAAGGCTTAGCAATGAATAATACATTTCTTTTGTTTTATTCCCCCAAGCCTCGTAGTCAAGAATGAATTTTAATATATCAAAATTGGTCGATGAATACCATTACTAAATGCGCCTCGGGAACAAGAGATTTATATACAGTGAATTGTAAAGGACTATGGTCAATTTTATAAAACTTTTACAATTGTAATACAGCTGTTGTTTTCAGACTCTAAAATAATAGCTACACTTGTAAATTACACCTGTAAAAGTGCTATTAAATGGACCCCTGGCCTCAATTGTTCAGAAGGTGGATAACACTATTCACTGAATAAATCACTGTCCAGTGGATAGCGTAACTGGTTTCCCTAATACTTATCTGCTGGGTAGTGTTTATTCGATGGATAGCGCTATCCAACGTTTGAACAACCGGGTCCTAACCGACCAATAAAGAGTAGACGACTGGATAGCCTGACACAGTAACGCTATTTTGCAATCATCCAGGAAGGCTCTGTCCATCTTTTTCGCTAAAGGCGTTGGAATGATCGAATTATGGTTGGAAGACGAAATTCAGTTTACTATTGACTTATTAACTCCTGTCGCCATCGTGATTGCTTCCTATAGCTAGAAACAGCATAGCTTAAGCTCCGCTATTACGCGTTCCAAAGTAGACCAGCGGTAAAAAAAATCACCTCTTGTGCTTCGCAGCCGCACCACGTACTTAACTTGCTTAAAATAACTGAGACACTAGGCTTAAAACGAAGTGGCTCCCCAATGTTAACAAACTTAACTTATGTTTTTAGTTCCAAGGAACATGTTTTTCCACTTTCATCCTTACAGAAGAACAGACTAACGAGTACTTACCTGTTAAACTCCAGGTCGTATCCACAAGCTATTATACCCTTCCAAATGGCGCGGACATCCTGGCTGCCTCTTACCAGCAACCAGTTTATAAACCCTTCCAGCTTCAGTACTCCCTCCTCACTTTCCTCCAATGGGCTTCCATGATCCCTTAAAAGTTGCGTGACAATTTCCGTTGTCGCTTCCTTTGCGTGACGCACAGCGTTGAGAAATGACAGGAGGAGGTTCCCGGGCGCCAAACTGCAGATTTGGTCTTTTGTCAGTGGTCCCTCTGACTGTGAAATAGCAGCGGTTTGTTTTGAACTCGTTTCACTTCCTTCATCGTTGGCCATCTCATACTCCACGCTTGAAACCTCGTTAGTTTGAGAAAGTGCAGAAGTTTTGACCCGAGGTTGAGTTTGCTCCATCGTCTTATCACTGCCATCAGAACCAAAATTCACAGCGCTATTTGACTGAACTGCTTCTGAATTGTTTAATTTACTTTCTTCGACATCAACTTGCGCGCAACTGGCGAAAATTTCTGCAACTGCTCCTTTTGCTGATTCAGTGAATGTTGTCTTTTCTGATTCAGTGTTGAACATTTTCGCATTTAAAAATTCATCAAACACAGCAAAAGCAGCAAGTTCGTTAGTCCCCTCCATGAGAATTTCGGCATTGACCTTGGCAACACCGACGGGTTCAACAGTCGATGGATCCTTTAGAGTCTTATTAGATGCAACAGCCTGACGAGCTAGGTCCAGTTGACTGGCACTCTTCAATTGTACCACAGCATACCCAAGAATCCTCTCGGGTTTATCCTGCTGAGCACTTGGTAGAAGTTCAGTCATTGATCTAACCCTCGCATCCACTCCACCGCTGTTCACATCAGGGCGCGGCTCCTCAGCACTGACACGTGACTGGAGTTCGGGAATATAAACCTTGTTATCATAAATCCCGCCACTAGGCCTACAAGCTTTCTTTATCGCATCCACAGCTTCCTTCTTGGTAAGAGTCGGCGCAATGTTGGTGATGACTAAAAGCCTCTGCAAAGCATTGCTCTTAGTGGAAATTACCGCTGCTAAGCTATCAGCGAACAGCGGCGATGCACGCGGATCCCCATGAATTAGATTTCTTAACAGCAGGGTGGTGCTAACGATTTTATCAAACCATGGCATACTTTCGGTAGGAGAGGTAACACCAAGCACATAAGCGCGCTTCCTGCGTAGCACGCTCCCTCGCCGTACTCGTGCGAAACATTTGGGCGAGGGAGGCCCCGACGACGAAGCTGTCTCCGTAGCGGAAGAAGAAGTAACTGCTTCCGGATCAAAGCTAAACGTGTTTTCAACGCCGTGTGGGGGTGCAGATCTCACTTCACTGTCAGTTGAATCAGACTCCACAGCCTAGAAAGTAGGAGGAACTAATATTAGCAGCACTCTACAGAGGTATCCCTCTTTAAATGTCATGTCAACAGAGGCTTTATGTAACACACTAGCCCAAGAGTGACCAGCGTCTAATTTCTCCTTGAATCAAACACAAAGGACCACAAAGTACATAAAGTCTTGATTGTTAGAAAATTCTCCTTATCGGGATCCATAGAAAATTCCTGGAGACGAGTGTGGAGAATACGCACGTTGACCGGCTAGAGCAATAAATATTAACGACATCTCTGGACTCAATTTCGGCCAAACTATTTGCGTATTACTGTGTAATGACACTCTTTGAGCGTTTACTCTGAATATTTTAAACAATTAACTTGAAATGGAGTTATGACAACATTGACACGTCGTTCGATTTCATCTTTGAGGTTTTTTCTTGCTTAGGTACTGCAAAATTAAACCTTTGCTTATGGGGATATGTAAAGGGTTAAGTCACCTGTAAGGCCTCTTGTATTGCTTTCATTGATAATCTTCTTAAGGATTTCCCTCCACTAGGAGAAAATTCCTGGACGGCTGAAACAAGCCCTAGAAGGGCCTGCAAGTACGACGAAAATTCACTGTGCTCAAAATTACAATTAAGAATGAAATCCAGTGCTGCGGTATTCGTGACCGACAGCTCTTTTTCTAAGAGCTTCCGCAGCTCTTAGTAAACTTGCCTTGCAGCACATGGAAGTCGTCGCTGGCAAGAACTTCGTCTGAGAGAAGAAGCTCATCAGGCATTAGACGGGACGGTGTTGTGGACCAAGTACGGCACAGAGTATCCACGTAACGCACAAGGGCGTGGTCTTGAGCCACAGTCCAGGAAGCATGGTCTGACTTCATCTCGGAAGGCAGGAAATGTGTGCATCTGTAACAGATGAAGTTTGTTTGAATCGCATCGTTTAAAGCCGATAACGCTCATTCAAACATTGACTCGCTGTGTCACAGCAGGTCAATTTCGATATATTAAAATACATACTTGGCTGCGAGGCTCGGGGGAATAAATCAGAAGAGATCACCGTAAGGCTTAGCAATGAATAATACATTTCTTTTGTTTTATTCCCCCAAGCCTCGTAGTCAAGAATGAATTTTAATATATCAAAATTGGTCGATGAATACCATTACTAAATGCGCCTCGGGAACAAGAGATTTATATACAGTGAATTGTAAAGGACTATGGTCAATTTTATAAAACTTTTACAATTGTAATACAGCTGTTGTTTTCAGACTCTAAAATAATAGCTACACTTGTAAATTACATCTGTAAAAGTGCTATTAAATGGACCCCTGGCCTCAATTGTTCAAAAGGTGGATAACACTATTCACCGGATAAATCACTGTCCAGTGGATAGCGTAATTGGTTTCCCTAATACTTATCTGCTGGATAGTGTTTATTCGATGGATAGCGCTATCCACCGTTTGAACAACCGGGTCCTAACCGACCAATAAAGAGTAGACGACTGGATAGCCTGACACAGTAACGCTATTTTGCAATCATCCAGGAGGCTCTGTCCATCTTTTTCGCTAAAGGCGTTGGAATGATCGAATTATGGTTGGGAAACGAAATTCAGTTTACTATTGACTTATTTACTCCTGTCGCCATCGTGATTGCTTCCTATAGCTAGAAACAGCATAGCTTAAGCTCCGCTATTACGTTTTCCAATTTAGACCAGCGGGAAAAAAATCCCCTCTTGTGCTTCGCAGCACCACGTACTTAACTTGCTTAAAATAACTGAGAGACTAAGCTTGCTTAAAGTAAAACGAAGTGGCTCCCCAATGTTAAGTTAAGTTAATGTTATGTTTAGTTCCAGGAACATGTTTTTCCACTTTCATCCTTACAGAAGAACAGACTAACGAGTACTTACCTGTTAAACTCCAGGTCGTATCCACAAGCTATAATACCCTTCCAAATGGCGCGGACATCCTGGCTGCCTCTGGCCAGCAACCAGTTTATAAACCCTTCCAGCTTCAGCACTCTCTCCTCACTTTCCTCGACAGGGCTTCCGTGATCCCTTAAAAGTTGCGTGACAATTTCCGTTGTCGCTTCCTTTGCGTGACGCACAGCGTTGAGAAATGACAGGAGGAGGTTCCCGGGCGCCAAACCGCAAATTTGGTCTTTTGTCAGCGGTGCCTCTGATAGTGAAATAGCAGCGGTTTGTTTTGAACTCATTTCATTTCCTTCATCGTTGGCAATCTCAAACTCCACGTTTGAAACTTCTTTAGTTTGTGAAAGTGCAGAAGTCTTGACCCGAGGTTGAGTTTGCTCCATCGTCTTATCACTGCCATCAGAACCAAAATTCACAGAGCTATCTGACTGAACTGCTTCGGAATTGTTTAATTCACTTTCTTCGACACCAACTCGCGCGCAACTGGCGAAAATTTCTGCAACTGCTCCTTTTGCTGATTCAGTGAATGTTGTCTTTTCTGATTCAGTGTTGAACATTTTCGCATTTAAAAATTCATCAAACACAGCAAAAGCAGCAAGTTCGTTAGTCCCCTCCATGAGAAGTTCGCCATTGACCTTGGCAACACCGACGGATTCAACAGTCGATGGATCCTTTAGAGTCTTATTAGATGCAACAGTCTGACGAGCTAGGTCCAGTTGACTGGCACTCTTCAATTGTACCACAGCATACCCAAGAATCCTCTCGGGTTTATCCTGCTGAGCACTTGGTAGAAGTTCAGTCATTGATCTAACCCTCTCATCCACTCCACCGCTTTTCAAATCAGGGCGCGGCTCCTCAGCACTGACACGTGACTGGAGTTCGGGAATATAAACCTTGTTATCATAAATCCCGCCACTAGGCCTACAAGCTTTCTTTATCGCATCCACAGCTTCCTTCTTGGTGAGAGTCGGCGCAATGTTGGTGATGACTAAAAGCCTCTGCAAAGCATTGCTCTTAGTGGAAATTACCGCTGCTAAGCTATCAGCGAACAGCGGCGATGCACGCGGATCCCCATGAATTAGATTTCTTAACAGCAGGGTGGTGCTAACGATTTTATCAAACCATGGCATACTTTCGGTAGGAGAGGTAACACCAAGCACATAAGCGCGCTTCCTGCGTAGCACGCTCCCTCGCCGTACTCGTGCGAAACATTTGGGCGAGGGAGGCCCCGACGACGAAGCTGTCTCCGTAGCGGAAGAAGAAGTAACTGCTTCCGGATCAAAGCTAAACGTGTTTTCAACGCCGTGTGGGGGTGCAGATCTCACTTCACTGTCAGTTGAATCAGACTCCACAGCCTAGAAAGTAGGAGGAACTAATATTAGCAGCACTCTACAGAGGTATCCCTCTTTAAATGTCATGTCAACAGAGGCTTTATGTAACACACTAGCCCAAGAGTGACCAGCGTCTAATTTCTCCTTGAATCAAACACAAAGGACCACAAAGTACATAAAGTCTTGATTGTTAGAAAATTCTCCTTATCGGGATCCATAGAAAATTCCTGGAGACGAGTGTGGAGAATACGCACGTTGACCGGCTAGAGCAATAAATATTAACGACATCTCTGGACTCAATTTCGGCCAAACTATTTGCGTATTACTGTGTAATGACACTCTTTGAGCGTTTACTCTGAATATTTTAAACAATTAACTTGAAATGGAGTTATGACAACATTGACACGTCGTTCGATTTCATCTTTGAGGTTTTTTCTTGCTTAGGTACTGCAAAATTAAACCTTTGCTTATGGGGATATGTAAAGGGTTAAGTCACCTGTAAGGCCTCTTGTATTGCTTTCATTGATAATCTTCTTAAGGATTTCCCTCCACTAGGAGAAAATTCCTGGACGGCTGAAACAAGCCCTAGAAGGGCCTGCAAGTACGACGAAAATTCACTGTGCTCAAAATTACAATTAAGAATGAAATCCAGTGCTGCGGTATTCGTGACCGACAGCTCTTTTTCTAAGAGCTTCCGCAGCTCAAGGCGTAGGGGTGACAACCGCGATAAGAACGAGTCAAATGTAGCCCAGTTATCGGCAAACGGCAGTTGGGTAGCCTCTGCAGCCTTCACATGATGGCAAGCTCGTATCAGCTGTGCTAGAAGGTGGTAGATAATCTCCTTGATGACCGCGGGTAAGTTTGATCTCAGAAGATACGAGCTGAGAATATCTGTCAAGTTAAAGGCAACTGTCTTGAGAGTCAAAACTCTTCGTTTGCTCTGGACATTTTCCGGGTTGTTATCGAAGCTACTCTCGGAATCGCTTGTACACTCTGCGGCGTTTTCCAAGTACACTTGAACGAAAACTTCAATGAAGACGAGCGCGAGGAAGAAGTTTGCAGAAAATCCGTTCAAGTGCACCACAAGCCCTTCGGTGGCAGCGGTAGAGAACTGCAAAAGCAGCCGATTACAGGGTAGTATCAAGTCAGGGTACAGACTTGCTTTGTTTGACGAGTACGAATCAGAGTTAGGGTACTGAGCTACTTTATACCGTGCTTCCTGGCCATTTTGGTTTAGTTTCTGGTTTCCATGGTAACAAGAAATCGTCACACGAGGGTTAGATACGCCCCTGAAAATATAAAATGTGATAAAAATATAATAGGCACGGATAATAACACGCGAACACTCGGAGACTTAGTTTGGCTTTATTTCAAAACTGATATGACGGAGGATTAAAGACAACATGGTGACAGGAAAAACAAAACTGAATTAGTTGAATGAAAAGCTTTCCGCGTTGCCTTGCAATTGGTGTTGGAAGAGATCGTAAATTGTCCAGTAAGTAGCTTCGATGCATCTTTGTCATTTCTTTCAACATCCCGAAGATGTTAGAAACGTGTGTCAAATCGTCTGTTGTTTAATACAGTAATTGTTTTACCGGTAAGCTTCGAGCACGGGGATGAAATATACAAATTAAAGTTGTTCAGCAACAGTTTTTTCAGTTTTTTTTTTTAGCATTTTACAAAATGAATTCTTTTATCTACTCATCAATAAAAATAATATATATGATAAAAAAAAACTCATTGTCAACAAATACTCACCCAGAGTTAATACATCCGGGATCTTCCCTGCAGGAGACGACAGTAACAGCAACCCCTGGGATATGCACCTCCTCGTCCGGGTTGCCCGCCTTGACTGATACTTCCCGGTGGTATGCCCCCAGAGAAGTTTCTTTCAACTCTTCGCACATTGTATTCACTATACTCAGTACTTCCTCTTCATCCTGTTCAACCGTTACGGACAAAAGGTCACGAACCGCAGAAACTAGACTTGTTGGTTCTCGGAAAAACAGTACACTGGGCTGCAAGGTGTTGGCCGTGAGGCAGTGTCGGGGGTCTGGAGCCGAGTGGGGTGAAGACATGACGATGGTACCATCCACTTGTGGTTCAGCCAAAAGCTGAGTGGCAAGGGTTTGCAAGAGGGACAGAATGTCTGCGATTAAACAGTATTAAGAAGAGAATTTAGCGAATTGCCAAACAACAGAAAAAAAGTTTACCCTGGACGTCGAAGTGTGGTTTGCGGTAAGAAAGATACGACAACGTTTTTCTCTTTCTTAAAGATTATAAACACGAGGTTCGATGCTTTAAGTGATTTCGTCCTAACAACAAACCCAATATGCGAATATTTGTGGTTTTAATTCGTTTTTATTTTGTTACCCTTTGCGCGTACATGCTATACCCGCGGAGGTTTTGTTGGCAATACTCCAGTCTTGAGGGTTTTCTGTTTCTTAGGAGTTGTCCTAACCTGTTATCTGCTTCTTATTCTTTGCCTGCTTTTCAAGTAACCTGGAGTGCGCCTCTCTGCAATACATCCGGGTTAGAGCACTCTCGTTTTGAAGCAGCTCGCAATAAATCTCTGCTCGAGTGTGATCTTCACTACACAGAGCCAGCGATGATGATCGAGCTAGGCCAGCCGTCGGTCGCTCCAGGGCGGTTATTGGATACCAGAAACTCATCAGCGTGCCTTCTTCGCGGTTGTACGTTTCCACTTCTGCTAAACCTTTGGGCTGCAGAGACAAGGAAGAAACCAATTAGAGTAAATTAAAGGTACAGTTCAGAGCCGCGGGTAAGAACTTGCATTTTCCCAATTTAGCCTAAACAGGTTCTTACATAAATGGTTATTTTCATACATTTAGGCTATTTAGGTTAGGTTCTTATTTTGTGAAGAAAAAATGTTGTAGTCAAGAGTATTAAGTAGTATTCAGCTAGAGCTGTTAGAGTGATAAGGCACCTATGTCTTCAAACAGGATCCAGAATGTTGACTTATCTAGTTTGCCCGTATGTAAAGTAGATAGATTTTAGAAAATAAGAACCTGTTATTAGGCTAAACAGGATCTTGTCTAGAGAAGGCCTAACTGGCAAATTTAAGCCTTATAACAGGTTCGGTCTAAAATGAACCCATTTAAAAGGAAAATCTTCTTGAAACAACGAGTACGATGAATAAGGTTTCGTTACTCTAACATGACCAAGGCGCCATATAATTCACTCTTGGCCCATCTCAAAGTCCTCAAATATTATTTTTCGTTTAATAGCTCAAGATCCCCGGTGATAAATAAAAATAATCAGCCATTAAAGAAAGGTCAGTACCTCTACTGCTCGCCAAAGAAACAAACAACACAGAAAACATAAAATTCAGGACACTTCTAGTTAGAATAAGTACGTATCCGTCACCTTGTCAACACTCTTCACCACCCCTGTGAGTCCAAACGTTTTCTTCATATCTGGCACTGCAAATCCTGGTAGAGTGGAAGCTTGGTTCAGAATAGAGCAGTTGATGATGACCGCTTGACCGGGTTTCAGGCCACCGGCGCTCACTTTGTTGACGTCAGCTTTGACGTCATCAAGCTTAGGAAACTGTAGGGATGCTGGGATACCGCCGTTGTCTTCATACAAATCGCCCACTGTAGCAACGGCGATGTCGATCATACCTGGACAAAAAAATACAATTCGATCTCCACGTTTGAAATACTCTGATGTCATTTCCGCATGGAGGCGTGGTTTGAAGGTTTGTATCACTGAGTGATGTAACCATGGCTGATTCTGCGAGCGAATCTCGTGTTCTGATTGGCTACCCCAGGAGGAAAGAAGGGTCCATCTTACCCGCTCGGGATTTCCCGCATTTGTCCCTCGAGAAAATGTTCTCTTTTTGGCCATGTAATAAATTCTTTATAGACCAAACTTGTTCGGTCAATCTGGTACGATACCTGCCTAATACTGTTTTGCGTTTTTATTGAGTTCGTCTCCATCCGTAGATTCGCAAAAAACAGAACTTGGCCAATACCCAGCCATATTAACCTCACACTTGGTCAATAACGCATATGTCCTGGCTACTTAGTATAATTCAATAATTTTACAGCAAAAAAAAAAAAATTCAATAACGTGAGTGAAATAACTAGCTTGAAGGAAAACCTACCTTGGCTTAACTATACTATATGTTTGCGCCGAAGAAGCGAGAGTAATTTTGCTCTGATTCAAAAGAATTTTCTTGCCTACGCAATACTTATTTCTGGCGAGGAGAGTAATCAAGAAGGTTACATTTGGTCTGTAGGTTGTATTTGTGCGCTTTCAACTTCTTCGTCACGATGAACTCCTACAAAGTTTATATATCTATTTGCTTTTAATTTTCCTCGCTCGGCGATTGAAGTAACCAAACTTATCATTATCGTTTACCTTATTAAAATGCCAAAACAAGATATTGCCCTACCCTACTGCTACCCACCTGCCAACAGCGCTCCCCTGATCTGATCAAGCCCCGACTGCCGATCAGTATTTGAACGAAATCGTCTTCGGATAACGGGAAACACACGATCTTCCCAAGCTTTGACCAGCAGACGGGAGGGGTCTACAGGTGGTGCTTCTCTCCCGTGACTAGTACCCTCGTCTGAGGCGCGCAAAGGCGCTACAGGACCCACATCAATCATCCTATCATAACTGCTGGCCAGCTTGTATTGAAGGCACGATAAAGGGTCGTACTCTGTGAATCAAAGACGTTTGTTTGAGTTGAAAAGGTCAGTAGTAAAGTGCGTGTTCTGCGTTTGGAACTGGCTACACGTCTGCTAAGACTCGAGGTCTGATTAGCCTGGGTATTTCCTTAACTATGCGACCGGGGCATTATTTAAAATACGGACCAAAATGGGAGACGCTTACTTAAAGAATTTTGATTAATCAAGGGCGCGCCCCTTTCGAAGTTCAAAGAACTCTGCAATCGCATGAAGATAGAGATGACTGAACCTACCTAAGCAGAAAAGAAACTGTTCTCGTATTGTTGTCGGTGTAGCGGAAGTCTCAAAAATTATAAAGGGACAAAAGAAAGAGTACTCATGGTGATATCCGTGCTGTTCAAGTAAGTTAGGGGTTCGGAAGGGGGCGCCCACTCGAGCCGGCAATTACCTAGTACAGCGGCGGCGCTTTTTCGAGGAAATAAGGGTGTTCTTAACGAAACGAAACAGTTTTCCATTGTTTACACACTTATAGATCACAGAAATAATTCATTACAATATTCAAAACTCAAGTGAAACCATTCGCCCAAGGCTGCTCGGTTTTGTACAATATAGAAAAACATTACTGAAAAACGCCGATTTCTTGAGAAGTTCCTTGGAAAATCGTGCACAAGATACAGAGAAAAACAAATTGAGTCATCATTGCGTCATTTCAATTTTCTTTTTTCTCATGGACAATAGCTCTTGACTAATGGGTGAGTGTCATTGTACATTTATGTACTGAGAGAATAAATGCCATCACAACAGTCATTTTAAAAGTCCTGTAAGTAACTATTAACGAACCTTTTACTGAGTCTTTAGGTATGGTCAGAGGTGTTGGTTTAGGAAGCAAAGGTTTAGACACGACTTGTGCATCCATCGACTCATCTTTCACGTCCATATCAAGCTCAAAAGCAAAAGGCAGCTCACTAAATCCCTGTCTGATGTCTTCCATGGAGTCGCTCCACATGTCTGCCGCAGCGCGGTGCTTGGAACCCTCTGCGTACAGGAACGAGCGTGCACCAAAATTCACACGGACGCGTACATTCTGAGGAAAACAGTAGGTGAGGAGAGGATGCAAGTTAACCGCTTTCACTGAATGAAACCGTATTAACGATTTTAAAATCTTTTTAAGTAAGCGGGATATGATTGTCCAAGTTAGTATAGTCTTGAAGAGGCTCGTTGGTGTTGCGTAGTAAGTAGCAAAAGGACACAACGTATTGACCTGATTATCGAATAACCCTACCCGCAAACAAAAACCGCTCTCAAATAAACGCCGCTCCCACTTGTAACGCAATGCAATGTAATGTCGTGGATTAGGGGACCACAAAACGCGCCCTCTTCACATTAGTTAATGGGGAGCTTAAGGAACGACCGCGACAGCTACGAAAACGCCACTTAAAAATGAATTCGCGCAGCCTTAAACTTTATCGCGCTTATTCCATCTTGTTTAATTCTAAAGGATTGTATCAAAGCTCAGGAAAAGAAAAAGAAAGTTGTTGTTTTGTGTTCCCGTGCTCGACAAAACGTGAAATTAGGCACTTTCACGTTGTAGTCGTGCAGCGAGGACAAAGAAATGTACAAAAGAGCGTGATGCACGAGCAAAGTTGTTGTTTTGCTTGTCTAAACCTATTGCTTTTTCTCCGTTCTCGTTGCCGTCGCCGTCGTTGTTGCTTAAGCTCCCTAATGTTAACAGTAGGCTCTGACGTCAGCATAGAAGGGCGCCATTGGTAGCCGCTATCAGTTCGTGTAAAACAACCGTAGCCTGTGATATGATTGATGGGTGATGCGTGAAAGGTAGACCACAACACCGGGAAAATTTCCCCTACTCCTTTCGAACAGTAGTGTGGGTTATTTTACGTCCCCTTCAATTTGCTGATGAAAGAAGGATGAAGGAGACACGGCCAACGGCTTAACGTCACCGCTCAATGAAGCGATCACTTAACTGAGACAAGGTCTCAAATTACAGCCAGCATCATCTCACAATTTTTTTTAAGACCCTGGAGGGGTATGAACCTATGACCTTCCGCTTAGCTGACCGGTGCTCTCCCAACAGAGCTAACCGGCCGGGCGCCGGTTATTTAGAAGAATGCGGCTTTTATTCCACGATTATAAGAAAAACGCTGGGTACAACTAGGTAATCTACACCATCCAAACTACTACGATCCTATCTCAGCAAAATAAAAGAGTCCTTTATCTCGAGAAAACAGCCGACATTTTACGACTGACGCGACCACTGGTTTCCCAGCTAAACGACGTCTGAGGAGCGACTGCAGAAATTCCATACTGATGACGTGTCACTACGTAGATCTGGGTAGTGCTTCTGATTGGTTAAGGAAAACATCCCTTACGGCACGACCAATCAGAGGCACTATCCAGATCTGTGTAGTGACACGTCATCAGTATGGAATTTCTGCGTTCGTTTCTCAGACGCCATTTGGCAGGGAAACAAGTGGTGGCGTCGCAAAATGTCGGCTCTTTTCTTAGACTTCAAACACCTTTTTGCTTCAAACAGTATTTATAAATGATTTACCGTAATTGTTCTTAGTGATTTTAGCATGTGATTTTGAAATAAACGCGCATCAGAAACGATAAAAATTTAACAAACGCCGTAGCGTTTGATGGAATAAATAAGGTATATCTTTTTCTTTGGTTAAAAGGCTTTGCCTTAAATTGTATGTTTTGTTTTCCCAATGACGGTGTCAGGGGAATTTGCCCAATTTTCTTTTCACAAATTATGCTTACATATGCACATGAATAAGACGAAATTTGAAAGAAACCGTTATCTGGAGTATTATCACATGACCTACATAGAAGCTAACGAGGTCTATTGACGCCATAATTATTAAGTGGCACATCTAAGTGCATATCTACCCAACAATTCTCTGTGCAGCTCCTGGATGTTCCTCACCTTTTTCTGTATATGAATAACGGGCCACAAGCCGGACTGAACGCCATCCAAGTCCCCTGCGAGCCTGTCGCCATTGCAGGTGAAGTAAACTAAGCCATTAGCAGACTGATCCTCATTTCGTTCGAATCCGCAGCCAATGACGTCATTTTCTTTCATAATGATGTTTAGCGAAACAGTTTTCCAATGGAGAAGACCGCCTGTCCTGTACAACACTGCTCGGCCATTACTGAAAAATAAAGCAGCGTATCGGCCTGAGAAAACAGCCGACATTTCGCGACGCCACCACTGGTTTTCCCGCGAAATGACGTCTGACAAACGAGCGCAGAAATTCCATACTGATGACGCTTCACTACCCAGTTCTGATTGGCTGAAGCAGATTTTCAGCCAATCAGACGAACTATCCAGACCTGGCTAGTGTCGTGTCATCGGTACAAAAAGAAATTATCATCCTAAACTAGAGGATAAAATGTGAAGTTGAGTTCTGGCTTTGCAACTAGAAGATGTTACTGGTAATGAGAGTGGGAAGAATAAGATGACGAAACGAAACTGCATTGATATACTTTGGTGAAATAAAGAGCAGGAAAAGGTTTGACGCTAAAAAATTTATTCGTAGCGACTTAGTCCGCCGAGAGAAAACATTCTCCCATATTATAAACGAATAAAAGCGTTCTTGACCGACGCGGGAATATCTTCGACTGCTGATGAATTCTTTACCAGCCGAAGTAAAAGTTCGACCCTTGCGGTGGAATTATTCTTCGACCGTCAGGGAAAGCAGAAAAAATAATTGACGAGTCCAAATAATTGAACGGGCAATGCGCAGGTAATACTTAGTATAACTCATAACTCCTCTTAGACGATCATAACCAAATGGGCTTGCCTACGATCTGATAAACAATAAAATTTTGTTTTCTCTTCTCTCTCGCTAACACATGACGGCAATAAAGTTCAAGCAGAGCTTTTGTTAAAACTGGTAAAATTATGAAAGGTACATCCGCAAATGTTATCAATTTATTCCCCAAAGTAGAAGTGAACCGTGTCAGTGATTTTGATCATTTTTTCAACATAACACGGATTAACTTGGAAACGTTAGTCACAGATGCAGTTTTTATGTACTAGCACTGTAACATGCAGGAGCATGTCACTATCAGAGACTTTCACCGAGTCGATAGAAACACTTGAACAAAACTGAACAAACTCTCAGGGATATTGTCCCTTAAAGAAACACAAAATGACAATAAAACCAAACAAAAGAACAATAAAACAATGCATAGAAGAAAAAACCTGTGCAAGAGGCAAGATCCCACAGGATTGATCCAACCGCTGGCCAGCTGATCTGTCGACGGGGCAAATCCAACGGAAATGGAAGGTCCCGGATCTTGATCTTCAGGGTCTCCTAGGGAAGAAAGCTCCACCTCCCAGTAAAAGGATGGCGCCTTGAAAGAAAATGATCCTTAATAGGCCACTTCCGAGTTCCAAAACCCCTTACTTTCGAAATGAGGCCAAGTGCACAACCTCTCTTGTGAAAATTAGTTTTATTTGCATGAGAATGAAAAATGATTTCCATATCAAAGGCTGAGCACTTAACCTCGTTTTGACACAGAGGCCCGGAGGAACTCGGAAATGGCCTAATGGCAAAAATTGCTATAAAAGCGGAAGCATACTGGATGGTATCAGTCTTTTTTTCAATTCGCATACTGTGTTGCAAACTACAGAAGGAATCTAAGCAGAACTTGCAACAGCAGCAGTAAACTTCATGTCGTCAGGTTTGTTTATAAGAGGTCTGCCTTACAGTTCTGTAATTTGTCCTTAAATGCTATTTTGTAGAACCATCATTTCCATTAGTCAGGTCCAAAGCTGTTACAGTAAAAAAAACCCGCGTGTAAGAACCATGTCTGGCAAAAAAGATTCTTGTATTTTGGGGTAGTTAATGACAGTTTAAGCTAAGTAGGTTCTTAATCAGGTTCTTAGTTGTTGAGCCCCCCAAAATAGTAAAACTTGGGTTTGGTCCTTAAAGTTAATATATATTATTTATTCACAACTGTATTATGATAAGCCTAACAAAATTGATTACAGAATGTTTATGTAGTGTTGTATAATAAACATAAAATGAAATAAATAAATAAATAAGAAAAGTCAATAAAGAAAGTATTTTCTTGTGATATAAATTTGCAATATCTAAGTCAATTTTTTATCATAATTTTACCGTGACCCACGTATAAGAACCTTTTTTATGTTGCTTGTCTAAACAGGTTCTTATATTCTTGGTTATTAAATGGCAAATTTCTGCCAGCAGGTTCTTAAACCACTAGGTTCTAAATAGCGGATTTTTACCGTATTATTCTTTTAGGTGAGTGCAACTGAATAACTGACAGCACCTTAAAACCATACAGAGCAACGAGAAACTCACCTTTTGGGGCAAAGGGGCGTTAGCATATACGAAAGTCCCCCTGGGGAGTCCAAAGCCTGTTGCAGGATCCGCTAGATAATGAACACAAGTATGGCCCATAGTAAAAACACATCCCCGAACGGGAGGGAACACCCGGCCGCTATCGAGCGCCATCCTCTTACTAGTCTTTACTACTTTCTTAGGTATCTCAGCAGGTTTAACAAAGTCTTTGAAGAGTTTCCGCAGCTGCTGGCAGTGCTTTTCTAAGACAGTTAATCTTTGGCCTGCATCGCACTCTCCTGATAATTTAGAGATGAGCTCCGATGAAGGATTCGCCAGAAGAGCGTCGATGAAGGAGGAATCCTGGACTTGGATAGATAGAACCATGCTTGCTCTGCAATGAAAACCGGAAGATTTCGTTTGTTTAGGATACTTTCTCTGCCTGCCCTAAAACGGGCTTTGCAACACACCCAAGTCCTGCGCATTTTTTGGAGATAAACATGGTGCATTATGATCTATGTGAAAATTGTGAAAAATGGGAAGACTGGGACTGAGTTGGGATTGTTTGAGTTATCAAAGTTTATTCTGATGGACCGGATGGCAACAATTAACTAATCATAAAAATTTCATTTCTGAAAGCTAGTGATCAGTCTCCGCAACAGTTTCTGGAGTGGAGTACAAACTAATTTCTTGAAGATCGGCAGCTAAAATATGGGTCAAATAAAGAAGAAACCTCGTTTTGATTTCTGCCAGGATTCGTGCTGCCTTTGATGGTGTAATGAAGACTTCCCTTGCGTCCAAATCAGAAGGCTGAGCAAACACTGTTTCTTTTGCAGACAAAATAGAAAGCAAAACAGCCACGGCTTGATCTCCAATGGACAATTCGCTAAGGAACACCACCTACAACGAGACAAAAACTTAATCTACAATCCTGGAGAAAAGTTGTTGGGAAAATGACGTAGTATTCATAATTTGCTGTAATTTCTGGGTGCACCAGAAATTTTGTTCATGAAACAATGCAACCAACATCTTGCAGTTCTCCATCCACCACCCTATACAATGTTGAAACTCGGGAAAATTCCGGGGAGACGCGTGCAACATTGTTTGTGGGGTAGGGGAGGGGCTGGGCATTTTTGATTTAAGAAAAGCCCCACAAATGCAAATGTGTCTTAAGACTTTTGTTCATAATTGTAGGTCTCTGTTTTAAATTCTCTACTAGAGGAGTGAGCGCTATTTAAACAAGGCCATACGAGACCCTTTTAGGTATAGCCGTTGGCAGGGAAAAGGCGGTACTTCAATTTTTCAAATTTTCCGGTGGTCAATTCACCTTACTACTTTCACTGACAAAAGAAAATTCCCTCCCCCTAACGACAGACATAGCGCGACAGCTTTTTTTTATAAACAAACTCCCTCTCTCAATTATTATACCTGAGGATTAGCTATTTTAAGCCGTGCCAGTGGTATCTCTTGCACTCTTTCACTGTAGGTCTCTCCTTCTTCGTTTAGTAACACTGTTGCCACACCCTGTCTTTCAGATACACTGACCACTTCACCAGTCGCTTTTACCATGTCTTCTCCACAGATCTGTCAAACAAATAGTGCTTTAAAGAGACAACTTCTTTAGAGTGAAGTGAAGTTGATAGGACAAAGCGATAACAGCTTTGTACTGGGCTATTCCCAAGTAGATAGAATTATATGCAAAGTTTCAAAAAGCTGTTCCAAACTTTCATCAAGAACTAAAAACAAGGAAATTGATTACCATTTGCCATTTGCACATCTCCCATAACACACCTCGTTTGCCCCCCAAACTTCTGCATAACCTTTTTTCTTAATTTGTCCTGAGTATTGCAGATGTCCCAGGAGAAATTGAACACACTGCTTACGCAAACTTTTGGGGGCAAACAAGGTGTATTATGGGAGACGTGCAAACGGCGAATGAATACGATTGAGAACCGGTTCCTCTTCATCATGATACTTAACAAACTTTGTTTTAATTGTTTTCAAGAACAATTGATCATAAAAAGGTTGAGTATCATCGTCCGGGTGAACGTAGTCCTGAATAGGACTGTTATTGTTGACAGTGACCGACGTTTCTACAACCCGTGCGGTAGTCATCTTCAGTCAAATTGAGTTGTGTCACGTTAGTTGATGTTACTAAACTCTGGTTAGTGACCTGATTGGTCAATTAAGTCGCGATGTTATTGGTCGTCTGTCAGTTAAGCCGTGATGTTATTGACTACGAAGACTCGTAATGTCATTGGTACGTTTCGATCCGTCTATTGTCACAGTTAAACAGTCGTTTAACAGTAGCTGACAGAGCCAGACAAAGTAGGCGGCGATATGACGCATCAACATATGTTACCGTTTGTTGTAGCGAAAATTGACACAAGCAGGGGGTTACTTGAGCTACAATATATGTTTAAACCCCCTAAAAACACTCTTGCTACGCAAATGATAAATCTAAACAACAGAACCATTTGTGGTACCTGAACCGTGCATCCAGAATGGACATTTTTATGAAAACCACCCAAGGCACACAAAGACGCTACAACGTTCCTGGCCTTGAAAAACCACTCGTGTTCGTTAGATAAATGTTCATCCTCGTCGTGTTCTGTCTCCTGATTGAATGTCTGATCCCCCCTAGGTGATATCCTTCCTTCTCTTTCAAGGGTCTCTATCAGGTAAGGTACGTTATCCAGGGTCTCACAAAGTACATCGCGCACAGCAGAGGCCCAGATCTTGGAGGTTTCGGAAGCTGACGAAGATAGAAGTCCGTACAACAAAGATATAACTTCAGATGCCATGGTGTGTGCGACCTGTCCGCTTATAAAAGGGCGGCTGCATTCCGTTCTAGAGGACCAACAAGCAAGGATCAAGTGTTAGTGTAGAATGTGAGAAACACACCCAGAACAACGATATAATCTTGACATCACTTCACTTCAAATAATTAATAATGAGAGCACAAATGAACCAAGAGAGGACGCCAGAGGTCGGCCTTCTTTGCAAACTTCCTTAAAGCTGAAAGCACACAGTACACACAACAATAATAGTTAGATTTCACAGAAAAAACAACACAGTCAATAAACGCACATAAAAGTGCGGACTTGTTGATCCTACCACTTTGCACGCAACCACCGACAAAATTGGATTCAAAGCGCGAGAAGAACTTGTGATGAAGAACTTATATTCAAAGCGCGAGAAGAAATGTGTTGGTTATCAGAGTTTAATTCACGTTAAAAATATTTTAGAAGCACTTAACAAATGGAAACATCAATAATATTCCAAGGATGCCTAGGGATATTATTGCAAAATCGACTTTGAATAAAATAGTAAACTAACCTTGACAGACGGCTGTTGCGTGCTTTGCAGACGCTTTCGGGGTCTCCCGATCCCTCGACACTCTTCTCCCCTTCACTGCCCTCCTCTAACAGATCTACAGGCCCCACACTAACCACCAGCCCAGTCTGAGCCCACTGGGCAGCTTTCTTCTGACAAACTGATAAGCTGTCCGTAAGCAGCACCCCTCGCCCATACTCTGTGAGTTCTCGGTCAAGTTTGATGGCGCGCTCCATCTCAGAGCCTTGACCAACGCGAAAGATGAATGGCGTACCGTTTGTACTGAAAAAAAAGAAAAAAAAATGCAGAAATTTTCGACGGGCTAATAGGAAACATTACAGCTCTTTCTAAATGTTTTTTGTTTCACCTAAAGGTTGTTCCAATACAGAGGAGAAGTGTAACGTCACGTTATCACGGTAGCACTATTTCTGGATGACAACAAAACCAACGACGACGGCGACGGCAAGGAGAACGGCAGAAAATAATATGTTTATATTAACAAACAACAACTTTGCACGTGCATCACGCTATTTTGTACATTTCTTTGCCATCGTTACACCACTACGACGTGAAACTTCCTAATTTCACGAGCTCGCTTTATGGAGTAGGTGAACACTACATAAAAATTGTCGCTTTCTTTTTCTAAACTTATATAACGGTAGATATAGTCCCAAACAAAATTTCACCAAGATTTGCCAAATTAAATGAAATTGAATAAGAACGGTGAAGTTTGAAATAATGCGAATAGACTTTTAAGTGACTTTATAGGTTTGTTGTCATCCAAAAATTTTGCTACCATGGCAACGTAACGTGAGGACATCTCCTCTCTCTTTGTTTAAACCTTGTAAATAAGAATGCAGCTGTTTAAAGAATCTGTTCGGAAAATCGATTAAGATGGTGTAGACTGTCCAGGGATTCACCAGAGACTAACTTGATAGCTATGATTAATAACGAGGAAATATCTTCCAGTAGCTGGTATGGTGGCCAGTTCTAACAAATATAAAGCGCCTTTTGTTTCATTTCTACAATGGGAACTACTTGTGGCACATTTGCCACCTGGATCCTTCTAAAGATTTCAGAAACATTAGCCGTTTTCACACCAGAGACGGATTATCCGTCTTCAAAGTCTGTTAAAATTGAAGGAAGACAAACCGATAAAGTCAGATGTATTGTTAGTTCCATTTTCTCTTTAAGACGGATGACGCGAATTATCCAACAGACAAACCGTCTTAGACGGATAATCCGTCTCTAGTGTGAAAACGGCTATCAGTATGTGATGATCGCACGGGTGAGTTGACAGTGATGACGTTTAAATAACCTTTGCGGAACTCATCATACGAGTCAAAGTGAACTGTGTACCTACGTATGACATGATACCTTGGTTCAAACCATTTACAATTTTTTGAACAGTTACAGAAATTCCAGAGAGACGTATAAAACGCTTATTCAGCTAAGTTGTTTATTTTCTACTTAGAAATACAGTATCGTTACCTGAGCACTTTCTGCACAACTTCATGCGCAGGCTGGTCATCTCTTTTATGTACATACAAACACATGGTGCTCTCGCTTTTGGTACTGATGTCATTTTCTTCATACACTTCTGCCTCGCTCTCAATTTCATCCTCAGTGCCCGAGTCTACAGACGGCAGAACAAAGTCCCCAAGCTTACCCAGTAACAGTTCAGCCACTCTTACCACGGAACTACCTTCTTGGTGAAGCCCATGTTTTACCCCTAGGTAATGCCTAGCAGAAGTGGGTAATGTCACCTCCTGGCAACTCTTGGCGTCCATCAGCGGAAGAGCGGAGCGACAGAGCTTCAGCACGATTAGCACCAGTTTAGGAGGGGCTCTTCGGTCAAGAAGGAGGGACAGGAGGGTGGAGACGGTACGTGGTTCACGGAGAATTCCTTCTCCAAGTCTACTCCTAATGATCGAAGGTAAGAAAGAAAAATGAACACAATGTTCCATTTTTTTATACACTTCTCAACAGAACTATTTTTCTTATGACGTTCATCGGCCTGGGTGACCAAACCAAAGACCAAACTTTTGCACAAAGGGAACTACCCGGGATGAATTTTGTGATAATTTTTTTCTTTTTTGATTTTGTGAAAGGTGGAACCTCCTAATGCAAAGATGCCTTTTGGTGTTTGAAGATTATTTGAGAAAACGCAAGAGGCCTTTTGACGTCCACAAAGACAGGTTCGAGTAACCAGCTATATATCAGTACTTATTGAACATACTATATTGCAACATTTATCACCGAAAACGCGGTCGCTGCCAAATTTTCCTTTTGTTTTATTACCGTCTGCTAGGAAATTACATCACAAAGATGTACGATTCCCGGCCTCTTCTCATTTCCGCTTTTCTCGCAAACTCATTCACCATGTAAAAATGCCTTTGTATGGCTCCTTAAGGTGACTCGACCCAGTTTTTTTTTTGGAGGGGGGTACCATCCTACTTTGAAGCTCTCTGCTATCCCCACCTTTACTTTTATCGTAAGTCTAACACATAGAATGGATAACATATAGATCAATCTACAACATAACATAAAATTTTTGGCGATCGGCGTAAATGTCACGTGGTTATTATGCCACGCCCCTTTGAGGTCTGAGTCGAAAATCTGCTGTTGCCGGCATTTTTTCGTGAAAAACCCTCGGCTACACATAGTGCGCATTAGTGCCTTGAGCTGAACAGAGTTTCACCAAAATCGCACAGACCCAATTCGAGAAATTCAGCGGTTTCCAAATTTAGGTCATAATTTATGCGAAAATGATAAGCAAACTTTACACGATTATATCTAATAAACTATGAGACTTATCCCTTTATTTTGGGGATCTTTATAACAGATGGGTCCTTGCAAGTCAGCAAAAAGCTTTAGGGCCTTGTAAATGCGGGCGATTTCGAGCAAAGCAAACATATAGAAATTATAGTTTTAGCTATTTGTTGACGTTTGTCAGCGTTTAAGAGTCCATCTCACGAAAAAAAGCATTTTCTTAAAAATTCGTAGTTTTTTTCCCTTCAAATTTTTTGAGGGCCACAATTGATTAACTAACTACCCGGACTCTGAATTTCATGGTCATTGAAAAACTGTGACATTATCTTCTATAAGCCCAAACTTGAGTAAACATTGAAGATTTTTAGTGTTTAGGCTGAGTTTGGGCTTTGGGAGTTGTCTATTGTTTCTAGTCTGTCATGATACAGCATTCTTGTTCAGCACGCGTGCAATGACCGCGCTTGGCTGACTGATGATGATGATGATGATGATGGCAATGGTGCTATGAAACTGGAGCAGAACATGTTTCAGACTGATCTATTGGGTAGTTTTTCACTGAGATTATAATGTCACAGGTACCCACGCAACCTACTTTACCTGCTGATTCCGTGCAGTAATTCCATGACATATACCAAAGCATCTTTAGCGGACACTTCATCATGACGGCTCTCCTCTAACACACAAGTCAGATAGTTTGATAACAGACTGGAGACCTGGTGAGCCAAACTTGACCACTCAATAGCACCAGCATGAAAATCTTGCCAATGAAACAAACAACCAAACATTAGACACTAATCATAAGAAATAAAAGCATATGGATATTTAAGAACTCGAGAGAAGTACTAAGGAGAAATGACCCACAAACAAGTGCTTCTCGTACTTCTTCAGAATGTAACTTGTGATCAGAAAAATTTAGTCCCTTTTGGGGTAACTTTGTCCTTTAATTTCATCACTATATGATGCAATTTGCGGTGCTGAGAGAGAAGGCAGTAACGAAGATTGACATGAGTGTATGAATAAGGCTATATCATAATCTCAATTAAACTCATCACCAGTAAATGAGGTTGGGCGCTGGTGCCTACAAGGTTGGTGAAAACGGGCAATGCTCTAGCACTAGGAAGGAGGTATCCATGGCAACCGTGCGAGCGGCCCCCCACAAGGCACCGTCACACTAAACTATTCAGCGCAATACTTACCTAGCCCTGAGACATAGAGGGAGGGAGGGTTGGGAAAAACACAGCACAAAAATGGCAAGCAAGCAACAAGGTTATAGCGAAGACACTTGCGTATACAAGCCAAGAGGTGCCTCTGCTAAGGGCATCGCCCCCTCCCCCACTAAAGCATAGTTGGGAAAACTGCTGACCAGCATTGGTTCGAGGATAACTTTGCCTAAATTACATTTTGCCACATTATAGACGTGCACACGTCCACACAACAGTAATCTAACCTTTATCATTCTCCCAATGCACGATTCGATCCAACAGTACTTTGAATCCGGCCCAAGCCATGGCGGACAAGTTGAGAGCGGCGTCAGTCTTCTCTTTCCTCAAACAACACAGTTTGTCCAGTAAAGACACAAGGCTACTACGCATGACACAACGCTCTTCGTGCCAGGAATATGGACAGACACTGAGTAACAATACGCTGTCACGGTACACAGTGGGCTCAGCTGAGGCCTGTTGGACCACGGCTGAGACAACAGCTGAGAACATGTCACGCACTTCTCGCACCATTCCACCACACTTGAGCTCATCCGTTCTGATACACAAACAAAAGCGCCCTATGAAAAAATGGTCTTAAGACGACAAGTTATTGCAGGGAAGCTAGAATTCTGGTAGGCACACCAACCTTGGTCCTTGGGCGAGTATCGACGCAACAGCGGAAAGCAAGTGTGGAACATGATGAGTTCCAATCTGGGAACATGCTGTTACTAGCTCTATCATGTACTGAAGGGCCTGGACTCGAGCTCGACCTCGCTCATTCCGGATACCAGCGGCGGAGAGAAAGCTCGAACAAGTCACCTAGGATAAAATGCAGGGTGATTCACACCGCAAAAAAATACCAGCGAAAGATAGAATTGGCTTATCCCTTAAGTCTAAATATATCAAATAACCGCCCGTTCAAACAGCCGCCCGCAGCCCAACCCTTCTTACAGAATATAAGACAAACATACAGTTAAAACCGGTGAGTAAGAACCTGTATTTTTCTTAGTTAGCCTAAACAGGTTCTTAATAAGAACCTGTTCCAAAGTTTAGGCTAAATAGGTTCTTATATGAAGGGGGCCTAACTAAGACGATGCTCCTCTGATGATAGTTCGTGAGGATTTTTTTTAAATAGAGACAGAACAGCACGTTGAAAGTGAAATATATGTGAAACACACACACGTACACATATTTGAGTTTCTATCGAAAGGTACGTCCCAGTTTTTTTGGTTTAACGTTAGAGGTTTTGTTCTCTCGAAACAAAGAATCATCTTGAGGCCAAAATTCTAAAGAACAAAATAAGCGCCCCCCCCTAACCTCCCCCTTAAAATAAGCGCCTTCCCTCTTCTCTCTCTCAACTCAGATGATTGGACAAGCACATCGGGCGCTAATTTGAGCATTTACGGTATTTCATGTTACTGTGCTTAATCAATCATTTGAATTCTGATGGGTTCATTTGAAAGCCTGCATCTCTAATGATTGACTAGAGCAGTTTCTTTTTTCGAGTCAGCCACGTTTGGTCTGACCGGTAGCGAACGTGGAGAGTGATTCACTGTGGCTTACAATACAGGGTTGGGTACATCGAGGAAAAAAATGCACTTATTGAATGTCAATGCATTTAGCACGAAAGTGCTAATTAGGGACACTAGTTTTACGTTTCAACTAACCGCCATTTTACTGACGTGGTCATCAGAGCCACGCGAAGGTCTAGCCACTTGCAGTACAAAAGGGGTACCTCATTTCTCAGTTATTTTAAGACCCTGAGTATTGGTCCGGTCCCGGGAATCGAACCCACAACCTTCCGCTCTGCAGTCAAGCGCTCTACCGAATGAGCTAATCCTGCCACGGTTACAAGTTCACAATAGCCTCTCACTCAAGAACAAATTGCTATATTTCTACTTACAGCTTTATCTGGGTCACTGCCAATAAAAAAGAATATTTCTGCAACGGTTGAAAGGAAAGTCTTGTTTACACTAAGATCCGTCTCCTCTTCGGAGGTTGAGCGGTTGTGTTTTCTCTGCACATTGGTTCTCCATCTCTGCAGCCTACGTACGTCGTGTATGCCTTCCTGAACTGACATTGATCGATCAAGCTTGGGTGGTGCCGACAGTGAGCGATTAAGGATTCCGGAAGGAGACTGAGGCTGAATCAGGGATGCTATAGCAAATTGTGAACAGAAAGCATGTTGGATTGTGCCTTTCACCTAGGTTAACATACAGCCTGTTGTCAGGAGAGGTAACCCGCTTGTCGATATAATCTTTCATGTGGTCACCCCACCTATCATGTAAACGCGATCAAATTAAAATGACAGAGAATTTGGACGGGCGGGTTACCCACCAAAGCGGGTCACCTCACCTGCCTGGGGTTCCCCACCTCCATGTAAACAGGCCCTCAGAGAAGTGATATCGGGTACACAATATGGATAAAATACAATGCAAGCATTTGCGAAGAGAACTTTCCTAAGAAAAGAGTGCTCTGACGTTTGGGTGTGTAGTCAGGCTTTTTGGTCTTGTCGAAGTAAGTTTCCTGTGGGAAATTCAATGAGGAGAAGTTTACTACGATGACGACGACGACGAAGACAGTGATGGTGGTAATGATAATGATGATGATGATAATGATAATGACATTAGCAACCTTAATTTACCCTTGGCAGTGTATTTACTGATATCGAAGGCTATTGTGGCCGAGCAAATACCGGAAAAAGCTGATTCAAATGAAATATAACAAGATTAAGAATTCCCAGTGGTGTGATAGGACGACGAATTGGTTATGTACATGCAAGTATGGCCGAGGTGTTGAATTCAGGAGCACGGAGATCAAACTCCAGTTTGTGAGAGGGACTTGAACTAGCGACCTAGGATTACTAATACGGTGCGTGCGCTGACCGTCTTGGCCACGCAGTCTTCCGCCGGATACACACCTTGCTGTGTTGGTAGACCGCAATCGGGC